TGAGCTCTGCGCTCCCGGCACTGTGGGTGCTGCCTGGCACTGAGGCCCCTGGCCAGGGGACTGGAGGCAGGAGGCCCATCTCGGGGCCTGGGCACTCGCAGCTCAGGACCCCAGAGAGGGAGGCGTCGAGGCTGGGAGCTGCGCCCAATGGGACACACGGCCAGCTGGCCCATGGTGCAGGCACGAGGCTGTGGGGACCCTGGACAAGTCCCCCAGCTCCTGGTGATGGGGCTGGCTAACGCAGTCCCCCTTTCTAACTCCAACTAAGGAGGATGTGGGGGGACGGGAAAGCCCCCACACTGGCAGGGGGATGTGTGCCCACCCACGGGTGAACACAGACTCAGCCTGCCCACCCCCCGGGAAAGGGGCTTTGCCTGAGAGCCTCCTTTTCTCTGACAGTGACCTTGACCCCGTCCATCTGACTTTGAAAACCTCCTGCTGGGACAGGGCTGCCTGCGGGGGATGGGGGTGGGCCCGGGGGGTCGGCTGGCCCTTGGCAGGGCACAGGCACTTCGTCACAAGAGGACCCCGCCACCACCCCGCCCTACCACACACACACACCCCCGCCCCTCGCCCCAGCCAGACTGTGCAGATGCTGCGGGTGGCGCTGGGCCTGCTGTCCCGCCAGGGGCCTGGGCTTTGGGCAGTGAAGCAGAGGACCCTCCACGGCCACTCCCCTGAGGGGTCAGTGTGCCCTGTGGCCCCCGGGGCAGGGCTCCGGAAGCTCACGCCTGGTCTTGTGAGCACACCACGGAGGGGACCCCGGGGGCCCCAGACTGGCACGGGCTGAGGGGCCTGGCCACTGGGCGTACTGACCTGGCAGACTCTTAGAGTGAAAGAGCTTCAGCAGGAGCGTGAGGTGGAGGGAGAGGCCAGGGAGGTTCCCAACGACACCCACAGCCACCCACCCCTGGGGCAGATGCGCGGCCAGACAGGGCTGGCCAAAGCGGACATGAGGCCCAAACGCTGCCACACGCCTGAGGCGCCTTCTGGGGCAACCACAGGAAGGGGTGGAAGGAGCAGGCAAGTCTGGACAGAAGGAGCAAACCCCGTATGGATGGAGGTAAGGGCTGCGTTGTCGGCCCCCACAGGGCCCCCCGGGCCCCCACGTCTCTCCTCCACACCCCTCGTGCGAGTCCGAAGCCGAGAGGCAAGCGCCTGCTTCTCCACCTGTCTCAGGGGCGGGGGGCAGCCTCCGGGCCACCTGGCCTTCACCTGGCCGCCCGCCCACCCCTCCCCAGTAGGGGACAGAGCACCCCAGTGTCATGTACCACCCTTCCCTGCGCGGTGGCTCTGCGCCCGCCACCATCATCAAGGGGGACGCTGTGGGCTTCCCAGGCCTCGGGGTGAATCGCTGAAGCTGGAGGCCCCAGGTCCTCGGGCCTCAGATGGAAGGAGCAACCACAGCTGCCCCGTCACCACGCTGTCCCCACAGTCATGTCGGCTGCAGGTGGAACTTTGTGCTTTCTAGCAGGCCCTTCGTAAATGCAAAAAGAAACCAGCGAAAGTGATTTCAAGACTATTTTTCTTTAACTCGCTATAAAAAAATTTTACCATTTCAGCATGTGAGGGCGAGAAGGTGCTAAGATGTCCACACTCCCGCCTCGCCTGCCTGGACTCCAGGCGTCACCCGCGCAGGGGCGGCCGGTGCGTCCAGGTGGGGAGCTGTGCCCATGGCCAGAGCACGGCGGGGCTGCAGAGGCCTCCAGTGGGTCCTGGCACGGCTGTGACCGGGGCGTCTCCGCGAGGGGCTGCCTTCCCCCAGCGAGCAGGGCCAGGTCCCACAACCCACAGCCGCTGGGCCCGCTGAGTGGCCGCTGGAGAGCGAGGCCTGCGTGGGAGGAGGAGGGAGCTCCAGGGCAGAGTCCTGAGGGGTGGCACCCCCCCCCGCCCTGACAGAGGCAGGGCACCTGCCGGCTGACCTCGAGGTGGACGCGGGCGCCTTTTGAGTCCCAGCTCTCAGGGACCTGCTTGCCCCTTCTGGGGGGCCCCCTTGGGCTGAGCCTGTTCCGCTGGGCATCTGCCCACAGCGGGTGGGCCGTTTTAGGAGTTTCACTGGGAATCCTGCTTGAAATCCTTTCCTCTCCCGCCTCCACATCCCCCCACCCCCACCCATCCTGTTAAAGACCCTCACCCTCATCTGCACCCTCTGCACCACGATCCGCTCGCTCGTGCGGCCTGAACACTGCACCTGGCCCCTCTGGGTCGACGTCCCTGTCGCTCCTGTGCTGCGCTGGCCTTAAGCACAGTCACCTCACCTGCTCCACTCTCCATGCACACAACGGGGGGATAGTTCAGCTACACCCTAAGGCAGTGCTTGCTGCTGCCCCTCAGGCCCCACAAGCTTGGCCCTCGAGGTCAGCGACCCGGCCCCTCGTCCTTGAAAGGTCATGAGGCCGAAGCTTGCAGGGGGCTGGTTTGAAGCAAAGGCTCTAGATTGGCTCCTGCTCCTCCTCTGGGGGCCCCACCTCCCGCTGGCTCTGAGATTGAGCCCCAGGTATTGAGGAAGCCAGGACCTCCCTACCCCGGTTCTGCAGTCCCTTCCCCATTGCAAAACAGCCTGGAGGTCGGCCTGTGCTGACGCTGACAGCCGGGCCTCCCTCCGTGCCCGTGCGGGGCAGGCCTGTGGCAGCGCTTACTCAGCAGAGACTGCCTGGCGCCTGTGCTCCAGCCCCAACAGCCCGTCCCGCTGTTGCCCGTGCTCGGGCACAAGGCCAGCACACCCCCGCAGGCCACCCAGCAGGCAGGACGGGAGCCCTGCACATGCCTCGGGAAGGAGAAGGGGCACCCGCACCCTCCAGTCTGGGGCGCGGGGGGGGCAGGTACCAGGCTGGCGCAGGGCCACCTCCGCCCACCCCGAAACCCAGGGCTCTCCCAGCCAGGCCAGGCCCTCCACAGAGCTCCCGCATCCCAGCAGCAGGGTCGGCCAGCTCTCTGGCCCGACCTGCCGGCACGCTGACCTGGACGCCCAGCCACGCACCGGCTGATGCTGGAGTTAGCGTGGCGTTACCATGGAGAGAGCGTGGCATTAGTGTGGCGTTAGTGTGGAGTTAGCGTGCAGTTACCGTGGTGTTAGCATGGCGTTAGTGTACTGTGGCCCCGCTCGGGAGCGCCACAAGGGCCAGGCTCTGGGGTGGAGCGGCGAGTATGCTGACTGAGCGCAGAAAACACACGAAGGGGAGACAAGGGTCAGGCGGCCTCACACGCGGTGGGGGCACAGCGCCATCCTCAATCCTCACCGGCCGCCGTGGACATGGCTGCCGAGAACGGGGTGGGCTGCTGGGGGGAACAGGGGACCCCCAGGCCAGGGACAGGAGGACACGGCCCCTGGTGGGGTGGAGGGACACAGCACGCTGCGGGAATGGAGAGGTCCAGAAGCTGGGGTGGAGAGTGACGGGGTGCGGGCGGACACGAGGACACTGTCGTGCTAAAGAACTTGGACTTTGACCTGAGGGCCAGAGAATGGCGCCGTTCAAGACAGAGGTCCTGGCGCAAGCCAGCCGCCACCTCAGGTCCTGATCTCCCTCCCAGGCCCCACTGTCCCTCTGGAGGTTGGCCAGGCCTGGGCGCCATGGAGACCCACCAAACAGATGGGCTGGCTGGAGCCGGAGAGGAAAGGCCAGCGGGGCCCTGGGTCCTTCCTGTCTCCCCCAGAGACACTGGACACACCGGGGCTGGGCTGAGGCGGTGGGCACACGATCAGGGCTCCCCTGCCCAGGGCCTGCTCTGCTGGACAGCCCTGGACGGTGACCTCTGATGTCGCTGAGGCATGGTCCTGGGCGCTATCTCCAGGGTCGCTGCCCCCGCCCCTCCCCTGCCATGCTAGGGACCCTGGACCCCTGAGGGCCACAGGCAGGAGCCGGAGTGTCTGGGCACCTGCAGTGCTCAGACCACACAGAGCGAGGGCTCCGAGGCTGCTGCCGGCCCTGTCACCGCTGGCTGTGGCCGCAGGCCGGTGTCCATCTCTGGGCTCCAGTGACCCCAGGGACTGGGCAAGTGGCCCTCAGAGGCTTCTATGCTGGACCCACCTGAGGCTTCCTTTGCTTCGTGGGTACGGGGCCCCCCAGAGACTGTGGACCTGAGACAGACCTGGCCGGCTCCCAGGCAGCAGCAGCTCCGGGCTGCTCCATCAGAAGAGACTTCCAGGAGACACCTAGCTCCGGCGCTCACCCGCCCAGCCTGGGCCACGCCAGCTGCCTCAGGGGACGCTGGAACCCTCTGCGGACAGGTCCTCAGCCTCCGCCCAGGGCTTTGGAGGCCGGGCCGGGGAATCTGCATCCCAAGCCCACCCACCCCACCCCTGGGACCCCACACACCCCTCCTGCAGACAGGGTCACAGCTGCACCGCCCAGCCTCCCCCCGCCCGCCAGCACCGCGCAGCAGAGGGAGGGGCAGCACCGGTGGATGAAGCCCCTTGAGTGGGCCCCGGGCCCCGCGCGCTCCTGCGTGGGTCTGACGCTGATTTGAGAAGTCCTGGCGGAACCTGCGGGCTTGGGCGACCACGTCCAGCCCCGTCCTGCACCCCGGGCGCACCGGGGCCCCGCGGTCAGGACCACCGGCCACCCCAGGGCTCCCCGCCCACCGGGCCCCGGGATGCGCTGGACACCTGGTCTCTGCTTCTCCAGCACGAGCGCGCGCGGAGATGCCCTGGAAACCCGCCCTCGGCCGCGCTGGCGGGGCGCGCACCCCTCCACCTCCCTCCGGCCCGCGGGGGGCGCGGGGGCGGCGGGCAGGGGCGCAGCGCGCCGGGGTCTCGGGCGCAGGACGGGGTCTCGGGCGCAGGACGCCCCTCGGCGCAGGGCGGGCTCGCCGGCCGCGGCTGGAGGGCGGGACGGCGGGCGGGAGCCGCGCCCCGGGAGGCCAGGCGCCCGCCATTGGCTGCGCGACCCCGGCCCGCCGCGGATTGGCCCTCGCCAGGCCTGAAAGGGCCCCGCGCGCCGGCCCCGCTGACCGACGACGGCGGACCTCGGGCGGCTCGCGAGCCCCAGCCCGCCCGCGCCATGGCCCGGCTGCTGCGCGCGCCCTGCCTCCTCCCGCTGCTGCTGGCCGGGCTCGCGCCGCTCTGCCGGGGCCAGGAGAAGTCCAAGGTGAGTGCCCGCAGCGTGCCGCAGGTGCCCTGCTCCCGGGAGAGGCGCCTCTGCCTAGCGCCCTCCTCAGGGGCAGCGCCCTGCTAGTGGGGACCCTCACCTGGGCGGCCCGCCCCACGTGGACCCGGTGCTTCCAGCTTTGGGGGCCAGAAGGATGAAGCAGAGAGGGGTGCTCCCCATGGCCACATCCACACGCAGCGGAGAGCTGTGCACCAGCCACACCAGGGGTCCCTGTCGAAACCCCTGCCCCTTCCTGGGCCTCAGTTTCCCCATCTGCAGGTGGTGATGGCTCAGAGGAGTGCGGGAGTTCAGAATCCGGGGCTGCTCTCCGCAGGCCTCCTGCTCCAGGCAGGCTCACCCCCACCGCCCACAGACCCGCGCTATCCCTCCGTGAAGAGTGGGTCACGGCTCAGGACGGGCAGGGTTCCCCCGAGACTTGGTCTGCCCCCAGCAGGGTGTGACCTTGGCTGGAAAGGGAGCGCAGGGACCAGGAACGGGCGGCCCGGGGAGTGCGTGTCCTGGCGCGAGCCAAGGGTGCTTGCCCCCGAGGGAGGCGAGGCCAGACCCAGCGGGTGTCCGGGCCCCACCCACACGCACGGGCTTACCTAGGCACAAGCCTGAGCTTCTGTTTCTGAAACCTCAGGTCTTTATTCTAAGATCTTCTGGGGCCAGGATTCTGCTTCCTGAATTGTGTCCAGGCCTCGGAGGCCCCTTCATGCCCAGCCCGGAGCCTCAGCCTGGCCGCCTGCAGACTCGGCTGTGCAGCCGCTTCCTCAAGTCTCCCCCGACCCAGCTCGGGAGCTCCTGGGGCAGGGGGGACAGGTGGCGGGAGGACGGGGTGGAGTCAGCCCTGTCCTCTTAGCTTGGGGGGCTGCAGGCGGGAGCAGGGAGTCCATGAGTCAGGGATGAGGTGTGATCTCGCGGGACACAGCCAGCCAGCTCGCCGGCGGACAGCCTGGCCACGCACACCACTGCTCCCAGAGCAGAGCGCCGGGTGTCACCCGGGTCTGGGAGTCAACCCCCACCTCACCCCGCTCTGGGTCGCCGAGGGGCAGTGGTGGGGGACAGGCTGGAACAGAGGTGACCACCTGGGGGAAGGGCCAGCGAACAAAGCCCCGGTCTCCCTGCCTGCCTGTCCCTGCCTTTGCCCGCACAAGGACTCCGCAGGGGAGCAGCGGCTGCTAACGTGCGTGGGAGCCTAGTAACCACTGGTCTCTAGGTGACCAAACCCGGTGGCACCGAGTCATGGAACCCAGGCTGGCGGCCAGGGCTGAAGGGCCCCGGGCAGCTCCAAACACAACCCCTGTGCCCATCACGTGGGCCGCCCTCTGACCCTGACCCCACGGCCCCGGCCATGCTGGCCCCAAGGAAAGCGTCCTTCCTCCCTTCCTACCAGTTGGGGGGCAGGGAAGACCCTTCCTGGTGACTTGGGACCCTCCAGCCTCTCCCAGCTCTGGCAGAAAAATCACTGTCCCACCCAATGGGGGTCCTTCAGAGAGACCCCCCGGGGCATCACCTCCTGGGGGGGGGCAGTCAGCCCTGGGGGCAGCTGGCTCCCTGCTGCCATTAGACCTGACACAGAGAGGGCCTTGCCTGGACCACGCAGCCTGCAGCCCCCTCCCCAGGCCCACCCCGCCCCCGCAGACTCCTGCTGCAGGAGCAGCCAGTGTGCGGACACCCTCTCGGCTTCTTCCCCAGAGGGGGTGGGGAGGGCAGTAGAGGGTGCAGGGAGGTCAGTGGACGGATGCGGGCCTCCGGGCCAGCTGGCCGCGTTTGGTGTTTGTTGTGCTGGGTGTTTGCCTCTGGAGGTGGATTTGACCCCACCCGGGGCCTCGGAGGCCCAGGGGCTGGAGAACGGCCAGTGCAGGCCGTAGGTACCCACAGCAGCCACTGGACTCGGGGTCATTGGGCTCCCGCCCACGCTGAGGGGAGTGAGGCCAAGCAGGCACATGGGGGGCCACAGCCTGCAGTGGCTCCAGACAGAGCCGCTTCCCCCCAGCCTGGGCCACACCGCTAGCCGCTGGCCGGTCTAGCCCCCCGTGGCGTGGTGGGGAACTCTCCCGGGGGGCCGGGGGGACATCTTCCCAGTGCAGCCCTCGCTCCGGGGCCAGCTCACACCCCAGCCGCTTGCGCCTCACCATGTCCTTGCAGTGTGGCCACAGGGACCCGGGGGGTCAAGCAGCAAGGACACCCTCGAGTTGCCCAGACCAGATGGGTGGGCAGCGCCCTCTCCCCTGAGACGCGGCCATCCAGGCCTCCCTGCTCAGCATTGCCGCCTTTCAGTCAATGCTCTTTCACCGTGGGGAAACTGAGGCTGTCCACCCAGGAGGAGGGTGCTGGGGCAGGACCGCTCCCCACGGGCACCCCTGTCTGGAGTTGGCTGGAGCAGCAGCGGGCAGAGGAGGGTGCCATCACCAGACGCACCCCCGGGGCTCCCCAACAGCGCCAGCTCCAGTCCCCCTCTGCAGCAGCAGATCCCTGGCCTCCCTGGCAGGCCTCCCTGATGCTGCCAGGTCTCGTGACCCCGCCCCCGCCTCCAGCCCGCTCAGGCCTGGCTCTTGCCAGCTGGCCTGGCTAGGCCCGTGCTGGTCAGGCCGGGGCGGGGCCCAGCCCCGCCGGGGGGGCACTGGGCCAGGGGCTCCCTGACCATGCCTGCCGTTGCAGACGGACTGCTACCCCAGCGTGAGCGGCACCATCTACGAGTTCGGGGCGCTCACCATCGGCGGGGAGGAGTACATCCCCTTCAAGCAGTACGCCGGCAAGTACGTGCTCTTCGTCAACGTGGCCAGCTACTGAGGCCTGACGAGCCAGTACGTCGGTAAGCAGCCCCTGCCCCTCAGCCCTCGGCTGCCAGCAAGGGGAGCCCGGCCACCAGCCCCAGCCCGCCCAGCCCTGCGCGCCCTCCCCAACCGGGAGGCCAGGCCTAGCCTCGGTGCCCTCAGTACATCCCGCAAGATCCCGCTCGCCCGCTGCCTCCCTGAGCTGCCGCCGCCCGGGCAGGGGGTGGAGGACATGGGGCCCGAGACAGGCAGGGGCAGCAGCAGGCGGAGGCCCCAGGTGCATGGACCTTGCAGGGGCAGGGGGAGGAGGGGGGCGTTGCTGACTGCAGAGGATCGTTCGCTCCCTGTGGGGTGCAGACCCACGCTCCCCGGCTGGCCCTGGCCCAGGTGCCAGCTGTTCTGGGGCGAGGGTCCATCCAGGCCGCCACGCTCTGCTCTCCCCGCCCAGAGCTGAATGCACTACAGGAAGAGCTCGAGCCCTTCGGCCTGGTGGTCCTGGGCTTCCCCTCCAACCAGTTTGGAAAGCAGGAGCCTGGCGAGAACTCGGAGATCCTCAACACCCTCAAGTGAGCGTCCAGGCCCTCCCCGCCTGGCTTCCCTGGCCCTGACCCACCTAGACAGACAGGAGCACGCCCAGCGAGTGGGGTGCAGGGCGGAGGGGCACAGAGCCAGGTCACCTAGAGGGCGCCCGGCTGGCAAGAGGCGGCCCCCGCGCGCCCCCCAAGCCTGCGCGCCCCCCGAGCCTGCCAGCTGCCGGGCAGTCAGTCCCGGCCCGGCCCGGCCCTGCGCGCTCACTCGGGGGGCCCACTGCAGGTATGTGCGGCCCGGGGGAGGCTTCGTTCCCAACTTCCAGCTCTTTGAGAAAGGGGACGTGAACGGGGAGAAGGAGCAGAAGTTCTACACGTTCCTGAAGGTGACCCCTCGGGCGGAACCGGGGCTCCCTGCGGGCGGGCGCGGCCCTGGAGGGGAGGAAGGCAGGGTAGGGAGGCGGCCGGCGTGGTGGACACCACTCTGCCCGCCCAGAACGCCTGCCCGCCCACCACGGAGGTCCTGGGCACGCCCGGCCGCCTCTTCTGGGAGCCCATGAAGACCCACGACATCCGCTGGAACTTCGAGAAGTTCCTGGTGGGCCCGGACGGCGTGCCCGTCATGCGCTGGTACCATCGCACCACCATCGGCGCCGTCAAGACCGACATCCTGGCCTTCATGCGGCGGCGCACGGCGCAGGAGCCCCCCGCGCAGTAGCGCCCCCGCGCCCCCTCCCCGCAGGCCCCGAGCCCCTCCCCGCCCGGCGGTGCTCCCCAGAGCAGCCGAGGCCAGCGCAGCAGGGCCACCCTGGGGGCGGCATCTCCATGAAGGAGAGGCCCGAAGCCCCCGTGGCGGGCCTCCCCAGAGCCTGTCTGAGGGCCCGGCCTTTGTGCATTCGGGCCGGCCCCGGCAGGGAAGCCCCCCCAGGACGCGCCCTCCCGCGCTGCCCTTGGCCCTGGACACCGCTCCCCCACCAGCCCAGTAAAGGCCTCGACAGCAGCTGTGCCCACGTGTCCTTCTTCGGGCGCCCCCGCGGGAGGAAGGTGCAGCTCGCGACTGGGGGGGCCCCTCTGCTTCTCTGTGACCTCTGTCTCCCCACAATGCCCCCGCGTGAGGGCTGAGGCAGGGCTGCACTGACAGCAGCTCGAGGAGGCCGGGGTCCACACACGGGGAGGCCCGGGGTCGGGGGCATGCCCACCGGGCACGGAAGGACCAGTCACAGCGCGGAACTCGACCTTGGCTTTATGACCAAGATGTGTGCAAACAGCTGCCCAGCGGACAGCGCCGTCTGGGCCTTGGGCACCTGGAGCCTCCAGCTGCTAGGCTGGGGGGGGGCCTGGCTGGTGTCCCTCACCCCTGGCTGTGGGTGCTACTGGGGTGCGGGCTGTGGGCGCGGGCAGGGCAGGCCTGTGCTCTCCGCCAGGAGGGCCGCTTCCCCCCGCTCTCAGGCAGGGTGGGCAGGGCGGGCAGGGGTCCTGACCTACAACCTAAAGCAGAAACTGACACACGGAACTCAGCAAACCCCGAGGGCCCGGAGCCCCCCGCCGCCGGGGGAAGCCTGGAAAGGAAGGCCCACACCCTCCTGAGACAGACGTACTGCAGCCGCCCCCGGCCTGTCCCCCCATGTGGCCTCTGGGGCCTTCAGCGGGGCTGTGGGCGCCGCGGCTCCCGGCTGTGAGGGGCTCAGGCAGGACAGGCTCTGGCCCCACGGAGCGCACGGCCCCAGCTCTCCGAAAGTCTGCGGTCAGCCGCTCTGCAGGGCGGAGGCGATGTGCTCTGGTCTCACTGGGGCCCCTCGCGGTCATTTTTGGTGGACTCTAAATAAACAGATGTCAGGACGTGAAGATGCAACATGCCCACCAAGAGCCGCCCTCGCCCCCTGGCCAGCCCTGCCAGGCCCCGCGAGGCGGGAGGCCCAGGACAAGGTCAGGCTCTTAAAAGGGCCCAAAGCCCGGCCCAGGAGTGGGAGCCTGGCCACCAGCTGCAGGTGCGAGGGCAGCTCCGCGGACACAGGGCAGCCCCACACAGAGCAGCGTCCAGGGCCTTCCAGGAAGAGCCTGGCTGACCAGCAGCCCCCAGCCCCAGCCCGTGCACCCTCGGAGGGCCCTGGCCTCAGTGGGCCTCCCTCCTGCCCCCATCCCCCGGCAAGTGCCCCAGACCCCATGGGCAGGGTGGCCTCTGCCCAGAGCAGCCCAGACAACCAAGGTGGTCAGGCCAGAGCCCTCTCAAGGCTGAGGCCCTTCGGCCGGATGGTGGGACCAGGCCTGGCCCTGTCCCCTCCTGCCCGCCCTGCTCTCGGCTCCTGCCCCCTGGCCAGCTCTCCAGCACCCAGCCTGGACCCCCCCCCAGGCCCCTGCACGCTCATTTCTCGGCACCCCCTTCCTCAGAAGTATGAGGCCCGGCGCCTGGCACGGGCAGGCTCCTCTGCCCGCTCCTGCAGGTTGAAAGGCCCGCAAGACAGGTTTGAGCGGCCCGTGACAGCCGCTCGCCTGCTGCACGGCTCCAGCGTGGGGCCACCAAGATGCCGGGCCTGGGGAAGCGGGGTGGCGCCAGCGCTCACCCACACCCCTCACCCCTCCCAACACCACTTTGGAAAGCCCAGGTCAGAGGGCAGTGACCTCCGGGCAGCCCTGCAGACCCTGCCAGGGCCTGGCCTCACCTGGCTCCACAGGCCTGGCCACAGGTTGGTCCGGCAGTGGGGAGGCCGGGTGGCGCGGCCCCACATACGGGGTCCTCCAGGCGTACTCCGGCTGCGGGGAGACCAGGGCCGCTGTCAGTGATGTGACCGGCGCGGGCCGGCCCCCGTGCGGGATGGCGCACCCTTCACGGGAGGAGGCCGAGGCGTGGGGGCGAGGAGCCTGGGCGGGGAGCCCCGGGAGCCCAGCCGGCATCCAGGCCGGGCCCAGCGTGGCTCTCCTCCCCGTGCTGCCCGCGGTGTTTGAGATGAGCTGTGAGAAGCAGGGAGGCACCACCCTTGCCCAGGGGCGTGAAGTCCCGGGGCCGGCAGGTGTAGAGACGGGACAGGAGACAGCAGCTGTGTGGAGGGGCAGCACGGACAGGCGCGGGGAAGGCAGAGGCGGCATGCGAAGGTGCACAAGGCGCCGCCCAGCCCCGCCTGGCTGGGAGGGCGGGCCCGACTGGCCTCCTGTCCAACAGCCAGGGCTGCCCAGGGTCCTGCCAGAGAGCAGGCCAGAGCGGCCCTGGACACTGTCCCCACGGCCCAGTCTGTTCTGGACGGGCCAGGATGCAGCGCTGGCCCCTCACAGACTGCCCCCCGGGCGGCACTGGGTGGCCATGAGTGCTGGGCCGGCAGGTAGGGGCTCACCAGGTGGAAGAGGTGCGAGCCAGGGAGCGGGGGCAGGTGCTCCACGGCCATCGGGGGCGGCGGGTAGCGGATCTGGGACCAGTCGTCGAAGCCGTGGGGCGGCGCCATGGCGGCCACGGGCGGGTAGGGGTAGGCCCCGCACAGGTGCTCCAGGCGGGGCTCCCCGTGGTAGCGGTCTGCAGCGGCCTGCAGGGAAGGCGGCTGTCGGACTCTGGCCTGCACAGTGAGCAGGCGGGGGCGGGAGGGTGGGACACAGGACACCAGCGCTGGCGGCGGCTGTGCCCGGAGCACGTGCCCTGCAGAGGACCTGGGCGCTCTGCCTGGCGCTGGCCGCTGCAGCCTGGCGGTGCTCCCTCACCCCGTGGGCCCGCAGCGGGCGGGCAGGGCGGCTCACCTGGGCCCTCACCTTGCTTTTCCTCCTCTGCTGTCTGAGAGCTTCCTGTGCCTTCTCCTCATCCTTGAACGCTTTCAGCTGAGGGAGGAGGGAGGAGGTGTTGGACCAGGGGCCCCTGCTGGCGGGTCCCAGGGCTCAGCGGCCAAGGTTCCTGGTGATGGGGCCACTTGGCGGAGGCCTGGCCGCTGGGGAAGGGGGCAGGGCAGGGCTGGCCCCCACACGCCGGCCCTGGGCAGGGGGACGCCGCGCCGCACCTGGGCGCTGGACAGGCTGAGCTGGGCCTGCAGCTTCTCCACCTGCTTCCTCAAGTCCTCCTTCTCCTCGTTCATGCGCTCCCGGTCACTGCGCTCCCGCTGGAAGTCCTCCTCGAAGATCTTCACCTGGGGGTGGGGGGCAGCTCTGAGAGGGGTCCGGACGCCGGGTGTGGGCGGCAGGGAACCCCGCGCCTCCAGCCTCACCCCCGCTGCAGACAGACTTTCTAGCCCCTCTGGCCAACACCCAGGCTCCGGCGTCTGTTTGAACTAAGGCTCCCCGGCTAACAAGCAAAGGCAGGTGACCGCTCAGCCGCCCAGGCCGCCAACTGCTGAGGCCAGGCCCCAGGACGGGGGTGGGCCTCTGAGCCGTGCTCCCAGCAGAGGACCCACATAGCTGCCCAGCTGGGGTGGAGGGATGCAGTCGGGCAGCTGCCAGCTCAGACGCCTCAGGAGCCAGCCCGCTTCCGTCCCGGGACCCCAGGAGCTGGGTTTCACGCTTGTGTGTCTTTGGCTCCCTCCCAGGGCTACCCAGGACTTCTGACAGCAGCGCAGACTCGGGGTCCCGGCCAGGCGGGCGACTTTGGGTTTATGGCCACCAGAAGTCAGGACTCTCGCTCAGGACAGAAACCTCCCTTTCAAATACACTTGTTGAAGGCAGCATCCGAAAAGCGAAAAGTTCACGTCAGAGACCCGGGGCCCATGGCTGCAGGGCAGCGCAGGGGAGTGGGGGCTACTGCTGGGAGGAGCCTGGAAGAGCGAGGGCCCTCCGGGCCTGGGCGCTCCACCCCGGGGGGCCGCTCACCTGCTGCTTCAGCAGTTCATTCTGGGTGAGCAGCTCCTGCTTCCTCAGGCTGCCAGCTCCCTCGGGGCTCCCGAAGGCTGTGGGTGGGGACGGCTGGGGGGCCTGGATGCTGAGTGCTTCCTCCAGGGCCTGCAGTGGGGAGAGGGCGGGAGCCCATCAGCAGGGCCTGGGAGCCAGGCCCACGGTGATGACCCTGATGATGACCATGTCCCAGGGAATGCGTGCAGCCCTCAGGAGCATGCACAGGCTGTGAGGAGGCCACCACCACCCCACTCTAGACCTCAGGGGCAGCAGCGGGCTGTCCGCAGCAGGGCGGGGCAGAGCAGCTGGGCGCAGCAGCAGGCCCCACCAGCTCTTTCCAACTGAGACTGCACTTAGTTTCACTTAGTGCTACACCTTTCCAGTTCTATAAAGAGGCTGGAACATCACAAATAAAATTTTGAAAGTGAAAAGAGCACAATAGCTGTGCCGCAGGCTCAGGAGACCCGTCCCCGGTGCCCGAGGCTGCCCCTCCTGCCCTGTTCACACAGGACAGGCTCCCTGCGCCCCCCAGGCACTGGCCCTGCCCTGTCCCAGCCAGAGCAGCAGGAGGCACGACGTTCTGGTCTCTGCATCCCGTAACCCATGAAGGACAGCTTGCTTGCTCTGCGAGCAGGGCTCCAGGGGCCAGGAGGTCATCAGCCCAGGACTCCACGGAAAGGGTGCTCCACCAGCAGGGCTGGCTCGCCCGGCGGGCAGCGTCAGAAGGGAGAAGGGACATCCCAGGCCTCTCCTCCCCAGCCCTCCTGTGGGCTCGCCCCTGCCATAGAGCAAGGTCAGGACGTTGGGACCAGGTCCAGAGAGCAAACCCAGGCCCCCGGGGAGTTAAGAGCAGCTGGGGTCGGCCTGGAGACAGCCACCAGCCCCAGCCTGGCCCAAGGCCCAGAGATGGCCCACAGCGGAAGGTCTGTGCTGTCCCCCAACCCCACTTCTCAAGGGTGCGGTCCCCGGGGCTGCGCTCTTTCGGCTCCAGTGAAAATTCCTTAGCGCAAGGGGAGCCTGGGGCCGGGGGCGCGCACCTGCCCGGCAGGCAGGCAGGCACGAGCACAGCATCCCCCACCAGGAGACAGGGCAGGTCAGGAGTGAGTGGGCAGGGCCCGAGGTGGGCGGGCCCGGCTTGAGGGAGGGGGGCAGCCGGCGGGGGCGGGGCTTGGGTGTCCCAGGGAAGCAGGGCGCCCCCCACCACCCGCACCCTCCCACCAGCTCAACAAGCTGAAGGTTAGGACAAGGGGAGCCGGGTCTGCACTGACCCCAGGGAGGAGGAGGGGGCACGGAGGGCACCCACTAGGACACCCACCTTGTTGAGCCGCTGGATCTCCCTGTCCTGGTACTCCCGCTGCCGGGCAAGGGGGCTCAGCTGGTCCTGCAGGTACCTGATCTTCTGGCGCAGCTCCTTGGCCTCCACGGTCAGCTGCTCCTTGTCAGTCTGCAGGGCACAAGGAGGGTGAGCGGAGCTTGTCCCCTCTCCCCACCCGTCACCCACGATGTCCACGGGCACCCTGCGAGGCCCTGGGGTCAGGTGTCCTGTCCACTGAGGTGGAAGGCCCCGTGGGTGGACACCAGCTGCCCGACAGCCAGCTGGCCTGGCGCAGTCTGCGCCTGTTGGGGGGGGCTCGTAGCACGAGACGCCGTGGCTTCGGGGGCACACAGGCGCCAGGGCTGTCTTGTCTGTGACTCTCCAGCAGAGAAGTCAGTTCCCACTGCCTTGCACAGGGTCCCCTGTGTCCTTCCCAGTGATAAAGCACTGAGAACCCCTAAAAGACCCGCCACGGGACAGCCTGCGCCCAGGGCAGGGGAGACACCGAGAGCAATGAAGGTGGTACGGGCAGAAAGTGTCTCCACGTGAGGACAGTATTGCACGGATAGAAGAAAGTTCTCCCAGCTGGGGAGGGACCTGGACGGCTGACGCAGGACAGATGCCTGTAGGAGGGAGCCGGGCCCCTCTGTGCCGCAGCCCAGGCTTCTGCCGCAGCCCGATGGACTCGCCAAGACAAAAACGCAGCTCCAGACCGATCTGGAGTGGCAGCTGCTCCAGACCCCGACCCCCAGGGGCCTCGGCAGGACCAGCCACCCCTCAGAGGACTGAAGCTGGCCCCTCTCTCCGGTCCCCGAGCCACCTGGACACACACCTGCATGCTGGCTCCTGTGAGTGGGGGTCAGCACCTCTGCCCACGGGCGCAGGACTGGGTGCTCAGCCTGACCCTCCCGGCCCGGTACCCAGGAGAACCCCGTCCCAGGATGGTCCCGCAGAGGAGGCCACTGGGCTCCAGCCTCCCCTTAAGCAGCTAGCTCTTCTCTGCATGTGTTCAACCAGGGGCCACGCAGCACCTGTCCCTCAAGCAGCCCCCTGAGGGTGCCCAGACTTTAACTGAACAAGAGGCTCTGCGTGATAACAGAGCGCACGGAGCAAGAGCCCGTCCAGCTTTCTCCATGTTTGGATGGGAGATGGCACGGCGGGGCGGGGGAGCTCCTGTCTTTGGCTGGCAACCCCACGCCGGACCCCATGCAGGGCCCACACGGAGCCCAGCCAGCAGCCCCAGCCAGGCAGCGGAGCGGGAGGGACAGCTGGGGTCCCGGTCTCGGCCCCGCACTCACCTCCTCCATCTCGATCTTGGACTTGGCCAGGAGCAGCTTGCGGTCAAAGTCACGCTGCCTCAGCTCGCGCTCGGCCTCCAGCTCGGTCACCTGCTTCTGCAGCTCCGCCAGCTTCTGCCGCAGCTCCGTGATCTGCCGGGAAGAGGGAGGGCACGTGGGGCGGTGGACGCCAGGCCGGGGCTTGGAGGGCCACCCGGGAGGAGCCGGCCCATGCGCAGCCGGTCCTGGGGGCCCAGCCTCACCTTCTGCTCGTACTGCTGCTTCATGGAGCGGAAGTGCTGGTCCCACTGCTTGTTCACCTCCAGCAGCTGCGGGGGACACGGGTCAGCGGAGAGAGCCGAGGCCCCGAAGGCCTCCTCCCCACGGCTTCTCCTCGGCAACATGCCGGCCCCCTGCCCTGCCCGAGCCCCGAGCCAGCGAGCCAAGGCCCAGACAGAGCGGCAGGGCCCAGGGGGTGCGGGGCAGCTGCCCCACATCCTCAGGAGGAAGCCCTGGCCACGGAACGGAGTGGATGGTATCACGGCCGGCCAGCCGGCCAGCCTTTCAGATATGCTGGGAGGGGCTCGGGACCCCAGGGTCTGAGGGGCCCCCATGTGGGGGCGCCTCCCCTGTGCTGACAGTCCACAGAGCCAGACAGGTCCCCGTGCCCAGCCACACCTCTCCACCACCCGGGGTAACCTCAGGGCCTCCTAACCCTCCGACAACGCTAGGCTGTGCCCCAAGGCCCGCCCCCCAGCATGAGCCCCGGGCAGGCGGCTGACTGGGACACAGAGCTGGCGAGGAGGCCCCGCCCCAGGCAGAGGGTCCAGCGGCCACCGCGCCTACAGAGCCCTGGCTGGCCAGGGGCCCCGGCCTCTACCCACCTCAGAGCGCTGCTGCTCCAGCAGCTTCACCTTCTTCTCGGCTGCGCCCACCGACCCCCTCTCGGGGGCCTTCACCGCAGTCACAGTGGCCTGCAGAGGACACGCCCCTTCAGCAAGTCCATCGGGCTGGCTGCCCCCTCGCCCCACGCCGCCCCTGTCCCGGCGCCAACTTGTGCCCCCACGCCAGCCGACCCCTCCAGCTGCAAGGCCAGAGCTGTTCACATTTGCGCAGGGTTTACCCCACAAGTGTGTTTAGAAAACTGGGCTGAGAAAGGGAGGGTGAGGCTGGGGGAGGGAGGGGGCCGCTGCGGAAGGGCCTTCCCTGCCCTGAGCCTGGGGCCACGGCAGCGGGCCAGAGACCCAGCGGGGCCAGGGGGGCTCCTTGAATGCAGGGGCCGCCATAGGGGGCGAGCCAGGGGCAGGGGAGCCTTGAGCGTCTCCCCCACACCTGGCTCCTGACATCAGGGGACAGAGCCTGCCTGCCTATTCCTGTGACCCTTCCACATGGGTCAGGGAGCAAAGTCTGGCCCTGGGGCAGGGGTGGGGGCACCTGGGAGGAGGTCCAGACAGATCCCCCACACAGCAAGAGGGAACAGAGCGGTTAGGCTAATCACCACCATTACCTGGGTGTGCGCAGGCAGGAGCCCTGCCGCAGTCATCAACCCCATTACAGGGGGGATGTGGGCAGGGCCAGGCTCAGTGCTGAGGCAGGGGAGAGGGCAGGGCAGGGCTGCGGGGGGGCGCGGGGGGAGGGCTGGCAGGAGGGGCCCCTCCAGGCACAGCCAGGGCTCAGCTCTGGGAGCAGCCTGGAGGGCTGGGGCATATTTGGAAATGTGCAGCGGTGGAGCTGAGGGGTCACAGCGCCTGCCCTGACCGTGGTCCCCAGGGCTGAGGCAGGACAGGGGATAGGACGCCAGGCCCCCCCGCACCAGCATCTCGGGGCAGCTGGCGGGCAGGAACCCCACATACCCGAGGCCCCCGCACACACCTGCTGCTGTCTGGCTGCGCCGGGCTGCCCGGAGGGGCCCTCCCCGCCGCTGCCCGTCAGCAATTTCTTCAGCTCCACGTTCTCCTCCCTGCGCAGGGCAGACCAGCATCACGGTGGTTTCGGTCAGCGGCCGGGCCTCAGGCCCAGCACCATGGCCGTGCTGCTGAGGGCCGGCGAGCAGGGCCCCGCCACCCGAGGCCCCCGGCAGTTTGACCAGGCAGTGCCCCGTGGGTGTCTGTCCAGGGGCCTCAGGGCCTGGGGGCCCCCGCTGAGTGCAGGCTGGCAAAAGAGCCTCCCCAGGCCCCTGCAGAGGGGCGCAGCCACCCTGGGGCTGAGCACCACCCTGCGTCCAGGGGAGGGCCCCGCGCCGGGGCTCCGGGGCTGCTCCCTGCTGCTCGTCCCAGCCTTTCCTTGCAACCCTTTTAAATCACAAGTGACACAGGTGACGGTGCCTCTCGACGAGTCGCAGGCCGGTGCCCGGGCTGTGTCAGCGCGCGGAAGACACATGAGAGCCGCTCGCGCAGGGAGCCCAGGAGGGCCGTCCCCTCACAGCATGTCCGCACCCCTCCTCCGGCCGGCCGTGGGCACAGGGCCCGCGTCACACAGCTGTGGGACCACCTGCCTGCCCGGGGCTGCATCACTGTCTCCAGGCTCCAGACTCCGCGGGCGGACCAGACCCAGGCTCATGCCCGGGGGTGCCTGGAAGCGCAGACTCCACAGCCTGGCCTCGACAGTCGGACCCTCAGAGACCCCGACTCACACTCAGGCCCAGGAGAGGGGCTCGCAGGCCCCAGGAGGATGGCAGGACGATGGTGACCGGGCAACACGTCCAGCTCTCCCACCACCACCCTGACCCCGTGGGAGGCCGCCCACAAGGACGGGGCATGCCCAGGTTCTGACACAGCTCCAGGATGCTGGAGGCCCAGCTCTCTGGGGCAGGAAAGGGTCAGGGGGCACGGCCAGGGCCCCAGAGAGAAGGCCGAGGGCAGCATCAAAGCCTCAGCACCTCCGTCCCACCCAGAGCAAGGAGCCAGACCCCTCCCGCCCGCCTCGCCGCCCTTACCTCAGCCTCTCGGCAGCCTGGTCCCGCTGCTCCAGGCCCTTGTCCAGCTTGGCCTTCAGGGCCTCATTCTCCTCCCGGAGCTGCTCACACAGGGTCTGCAGGCGGGGTGCTGGGGTGAGGTGAGGTGCACGACCCCAGATGTGGGGGGAAGGGGCAGGCCGCGGCCCAGGCCCCAGGCCAAGCCCAGGCCCTCTGGTCACCCTGCTCCAGGAGCCAGCCACGGGGACGCTGACCAAGGGCTTCTGGCCCTACAATGTCAGCGGCTCGGTCCCCCAAGTCACAGTCTCCGTCCCCCCACCCCCAAGTCAGAGTCTCCACCCCCCCAAGTCAGTCTCCATCCCCCAAGTCAGAGGCTCGGTGCCCTCCTCCCCTCCCCATCTCTGCTGATTCCTGTCTCTGCTTCACAGCTTGGCTTAGAAGTCACCTCCTCCGAGGAGCCCTCTGAGGAGGTGACAGTGACAGGCATCGTGACAGTGACAGGCAGAGAGCAGCTGGGCCGGCGTGTCTGAGCGTCCACCCCACAAGCCTGCGAGCCACGGAGCACTGGGACCCGGGCCTGGCCACAGCCCGCTCGGCCGCCGGCCAGCCAGGGGAGAGGTGGCGTCCACGGCACCCTGCCCCGCGTCACTCAGCGAAGGGACACTCGGCCTCCTGAGGCTAGGGCTGCCATGTCCATAGGATGCGGCCGGCCCTCCGCCCAGTCCCGGAGGAGCAGGGGCATAGGCTGGCCGCCTACCAACCCAAGGCTTGTTGTTCCGGGAGATTCCAGTGTTCCACAGCCCGGCCCCGCCCGCTGACTAACACTGGCACCTGGGGCTGGACCTGCAGGAATCGGGTAGGGAAGGACAGACGCCGCACGAGAGCCCCCTGAGTCCAGAGTCATCGTGGCCCGGAAATGTGAGTGGGCTGAAGCAAGAGCCGGGGTGGACGCGGGGCAGGCCTGGGACGTCCAGGCCAGGCCACTAGGGAGCGGGCGAGCCCCGGGGGACCACTGCAGGGGCCCCTGCAGCCTCTGGGCACGTGTGCCCTGGCCCGAGCAGTGTGGAGGGCACGGAGATCCTGCACCAGCTGGCGACGTGCCTCACACCCCCTGTGCCGGCAGCCAGCCAGGAGCGGGGCTCAGACAGAAACAAACCGGCTGAGGAAAAACAGTGGGGGTGCAGGACCCCTCCTAGGAGTCCCGGTGTGGACCCCGATTCACAGCCCAGCCATTGAGTCTCGCAAGTCCCCCCCACAGTTACCAGAGCCCCTTGTAAGCGCCGCTGACATGGAGCGGGCCTCCGCTGTCCTCCTGCCCCCAGCCCTCAGGCAGTGACCCCTGTGGCCTCGCCCTTCAAGGCCCTGCATTCAGCAGAGGTGCCCCCTCCCCGAGTGCTCTGCCCCCCCTCTGCTCATGCCAGACCTCCAGCCTGGACGTCCTCCCGCCCCCGACCCACAGGACCCTGCCCAGGAGGCCCCAGGACCCCACCACAGAACCTGGGAGGAGGGCCCCCCGCAGGCCTCGGACCTCATCCCAGGAGCCACGAGCTCAGTGGCCACCAGCTCAGCGGTCACCAGCTAACAGTGGCCTCAGAGCCCAGGCGACCACGAGCATCCTGGAAGCTTGCGCAAGCCCTTTCCAGCTCCCACACTCTAGACTATTCTGAGCTTCGAACCCTCACGTTGGCCTGAGTTACTGAGGTGGACAGTGAGGGACAGAGAGGGCAAGTGCTTGTCCAAGGTCACACAAGTGTGACCACGGAGCCGAGGGCCCTGGCCTCCAGCCGCTGGCCAAGCGGCTTGGTCCCCCCAGGGGCTTGGGGAGGGAACCCCTCACCCACGGTGCTGGTCAAGACCCCCGGCTCGGGGGCAGGACAGAGGAGGCCAGTGCAGAGACTGCCCCCCAGCTGGAGACTCTGGCCAGAGTGCACCAGGGGGGCTCTGCACCCCGAGCAGGGGATGACCGGCGGGTCCACCCAGGGCGGGTCCACCCAGGGCGGGTCCACCCAGGGCCAGCACACAGAGGGCGGCCTTTGCCCTCCCCCAAAGGCAGGGCTGCTCGGCCGGCCCCGCCCCGCCCAGGGCTGCCCCACCCGGCATTTCCCAATGTCCTTCCCCTTCCAGGTCCCTTCCCACAACTTCCTTGCCCAGAGCGCCGCCCTGACTGGCAGCCAAGGCAGCCCCCAGCAGGCCCGGAGCTGGGGCAGGGAGGACGCCCCCCCGCCGCCGGCCTCACCTGCAGCACGGAGGTGCGCTGCTCGTTCTTGTGCACCTTGGAGGCCAGCCGGTTGAACTCGAGCGCCATGCGGCCCAGGTGGGTGAAGAGCTGGCTGCGGTCGGGCTCCTCGGCGCACTCGCTCAGCGAGGACCCCAGGCGCTGCAGGTGCAGTCGCAGGTCACTGTGCCCCCGGGGTGGGGTGCCCGGCGCCTGTGGGGACCACAGGCTCGTGACTTGGGCGCCCGGCCCAGCTCGCCCGGGACACCCCACAGCGACCAGGCTCCGGCCTGGGCTGACGCTCAGGCAGGCCCGGGCACTATGGCTGGCTGCTCCTAGCTGGAGGCTCCCGGCCCTCAGGTCCCTCCCGCTGGACACTCCTGGGCACAGTCAGGCCACCCCCCGAGGGACAGGCCCTCCGGCTCAGGGGTCCTGACCAGGCCCCCATGTAGACCCCACGGGCTTCCACGTCCAGCACGTGTCATCCAGGGAACCGTCCAAGTGTCCAGCAGCTTGCAAGAGGTTCCCAGCTCCAACACGGGCAAAGCAGCCTGCTCAAGATGCCAGTGTGGGCTGGGAGCAGGGAAGCGGCCCCTCCGGCTTCAGTCATGTCCAGGCCGGGCCAGTCCCCCCCAAGGGGAGGGGCTAGCTAAGCCCATGGGCAGCAGGCCTGCCTCTGCCTCTGGCCAGGGGCCGCACACCTGGCCCGAGGGGCCTCCTGGGCCTCAGGTTCAGCTGAGCATCCTCCAGGCCTGCCCGCCTCCCCGCACACCTGTGGCAGCACAGCCGCTGGCGCCACGGGTGCAGGCTGGGAAGCCAAGAACTAGGGCAGGGAATGGGCACGGCCCTGGGGTTCAGGGGGGGCAGTGGGCCCCCCCGCCCGTCCTCAGGACCTGCCACCAGCACTGCGCTCTGTAAGCCCCACCGGCAGCCGCCCACACCTGCGCGGGCACCCATGCTGGGCAGAGGGGCCGCGGCGGCCAGGAGGGCGTGTCTGCGGGACGGCAGTGCTGGTCCAGGGTCAGAGCGAAGCACTTTCTCAGTGGGGGGGACGGAGCCCGGGACAGACCCAGACGGGCCGCACCAGGCCGCTCTCCAGGCCGAGGAGCGGCCCGGGGTGGGAGCCGTGCAGGGGGCCTGTGCCCGAGGGCCAGGACTGGCCGGCACACAGTGGCCTGCCCAGGCCTGGTTCACCCCAAGCCCAGACTCAGTGGCGGGTGGGGCCCTCACGTCTGGGCCACAGGAGCCAGAATCTCAGAGGGGGAGCGGGGAGGGGCGGGTGGACTCGAGGGCTCCCAGAGAACATCCCAGAATTCCCAGCGGCTCCCAGCAGGCCGTAGTGGGCAGGAGACCCGCAGGGGCGAGGAGGGGCGGAGGTGCTGGGACACCCCAGAGCTGGAGGGCTGCGGGGGGTGGATGTGTGGGTGTGAGCGGGTGAATTAGTACAAGCGTGAGGATGGGGGTGGGAGGCCCGAGGACGGGGTGTCTGGGGCCGGGGACCTAGGGGTCGGGGTGGGCCGGGGGCTGGGCCCTGGGGGTGGGGCGCTCCTGACCTCCCTGACCGGCCGGGCCCGCGCTGAGTCAGGGCAGCCATGGGCCTGAGCAGGCCGGGGCTGGGGAATGCCGGGTGCACACGTGGCCAGGCTGGGGTGAGGTGGGGAAGCCACCAGCGGGGATTTGCATACGTGAGCGAGAAGCGGCCCCTGCCACTGTCCCTGGGCGTCCCCGGTGGCTCCGGGTCCCAAGGCGGCTGAGCCTGGAGGTCAGGACGCCAGGGACCACGGTCCACTCACCGGCGTGTTCCCGGGGGGGCCACTGCTCTCGGGTGGGGAAGCTTGCTCCTCCGTGGGGACCACTTCGAACTCAGAGGAGGTGGCCTGAAGGGGAGGGGCGTCAGGAGCAGCCAGGAAGTGGCCTCCCCCTTCTCGGGGCCCACAGCTGAGATGGGCCCGGCCCCGCTCTCCCTGGGCCTCCCACCAGCACCTCCCTGACGGCGCAGAGGCCGGCTGGACCCAGGCCCTGCTCTGCCCCCTCTGTGCTGCCGGCCCAGCCACCTCAACAGACGCCACTTACGCTGGACGGTGGTTTGGGGACCGGCTCTGGCTGGACGCCGGCGGGCGCGGGCTTGGCAGCAGGTGCCGGGACAGCAGTGTCCTTTCCTGGAAGTCAAGGAAGTGCAGTGGGGGGCGCTGCTGGACATGGCCGGGTCCGAGCACGGCCCGGACCCAGACCAACACGCCTGCCACTCGTCCACCCTCCAGGCGCGCCCAGGCCACGTGGGAAGCTGCTGCCCGGCCCCTGAGGCTCAGACCCTGGCCGGCTTGGACCCCGACCAGCGACCCCCACCGGCCACATGGGACCTCAGTACGCATGCCGGCCAGGCTCGGCAGCCGGCCACCTGGCTCTGAGCCACACCCAGCAGGCTAACAGGCCCGTCCAGTCCCCCGGCCTTGGCGAGGGAGGGGCCAGGCCTGAGCGCGGCCCTTCCGAGGCCCAGCTGCCATTCTGGCATGTAAACAGGCAGCTGGGCCCACGCCACACTTGCTGCCACCACTGGGGCCAGCCCAACAGCCTGGCCACTGACGGACAGGCCGCCGGGAGCTCCTTCGGCGCAGGGGGACAGTCTGCGTCTGAGAAGCGAGGGAGACAGGCTTCCGGAATGGGCAGGACAGTGCTGGGCCTCAGAGGGGGACAGGGGAGCAGAGGGCGCCCCCTCCCGTACCTGGGAGCTCGGCCAGCTGGTCGAAGGAGGACAAGGAGGACGAGGGTGGCGAGAGCAGCTCGCTGTCCTTGACCAGCTCCTCCGCCTTCTGCCGCAGCCTGGACGCTTCCACCTGGGACTCCCCCAGAAGCTCCCCTGGGGACAAGGGGACAGAAGGGGCGAAGGGTCAGTGGACGCGCTGGTTCTGTCCGTGCTGGGCCCACATGTTGCTTCTGCCTCCTCTGACGCACTAGGCCCGGGGTTTCACCCCAACGCCTCCCCGCGGGAGCTGCGGAGACACAGGGCACCGCCCACACCCGATACAGCCCAGAGCAGGGGGAGGCTCTGAAATCAGGGGGCCAGGGGTGGACAGAACCTGGAGCAGACCCTGGGCACCCTCTTTCTGTCCCTCCAGGCCACACCAGCCCATGGTCCCCAAAGAGCTAGGGGTTCACTCAGGCCTCCTGCCTTGGCTCAGAGGTGCCCCAGTCAGGGGAGGCCCTGGGTAGGAGCAGCCGCCAGTCGGGACACCCTCCTGGCCCCCCTGCCACCCCAGGAAGGCTCTACCAGGGAGAACGGTGGAGCTCGCCCCACCTAGAGGAGAGGCAGCAGCAAAGAGGGTGAGGGGCCTGGGCGGGGAGGGGTGGGCCAGGAGCATGGGGGTTGGCGGGCGGGGGATCCAGGAGCGTGGGGGCGGGGGAGCGGGCCTCACCTAGCATCTTGATGCCTTGCATCTTCTCCTTCAGTCTGGAATTCTCCTCCACCAGGCGCTCAAAGGCAGCGGACGCCTCTCCCGGAGGTGCGCTGCCCCCGGGGTCGTAGATCCGGTACGGTCCTCTCCCCTCCATGAATGGGCCTCAGCCCCTGCTGTGCCCGCCCAGCTGTGAGGACAACGGTGGTGTCAGGGTGCTGGCGTGGCAGCCGACATCCCGAACGAGCCCCCAGCACCAGGACAGACCTCGGCATGCAGGCAGGCCGGCCAGGGGACAGCAGGGCAGGACAGTCACCTCCTTTCACCGGGACACCCTACCTCTATTAATGCAACCCCAGAATGGCACCAGCTTCCTTTACAACCTAGCACAGGGGACAGCAATGCAGGTGGTATCAAGGCCTCACGTTCCCGGGCTGCCCAGGAGGGCCAGCGCCAGTGGCCTGTCTGCTCTGCCACCCGTGAGCCCCCAACGCCAGGAAGGTGAGCTAGGATGGGAACACCAGTGAACACGGGCCAGACCCGCAGAGGGCCCAGTGGGGAGCCCCTGTGGGGGGCAGCCCCTTCCTCACTAAGGAGGGAAATGAAAGTCACACGCCAGTCAGAGATCTTTAAAGTGAAGTGCTGGTGCCCGGTGGACAGGGGGCACCTCGCTGACCATCACGCACACAGCCCACCCCCTACATCCCGCACAGCGCCCTTCGCCCGCAGGCCTCCGCTTGGCCAGCCTGGCCCTTCCGGGGCCCACACGCACATGAGCTTTCCAGCAAAGCGCCGCCTACACGCGCCTTGGCGCCACCTCTTCAGCTTTATCTGCTGGTGAATTCAGAGCCCTGGGCCTGCGCCTCAGGGGCAAACTTGCCCCTGCCAGTGCAGCTCATGTGGAGGGCACCACGCTGGCCTCTGGTGGCACTGCCCCGCCCTGCAGCAGCAGCCAGGGGTCCCCCCTGCGGCCCCAACCCTGATAGTGGGCCAAGACCCACACAGGAGCTGGACACACAGGCACCTGCCCTGACCTGCAAAGCCAGGACCCCGCACCAGCACCAGCCATCGCTGGGCCTCAGTGACTGGACTCCCTGGACAGGCAGAGACACCCGAAGGAGCACCGTGGCCAGGGCGCACCAATGGCCACCTGGGGCACCTACGGCCGCCCTGTCTGCAGCTGTGAGGATGCTTTTACTGTGTCCACCTGCCACAGGCACAGGCTCCTGGAGCGCTGGACTGCACCGCCCTGCTCACCTGAACATCGGCGGAGCAGGCTGCCAGGCCTCACTGCCCCTACCCAGAGCCTGGCCCTGCCTCCAAAGGGCCACGTGCCACAGCCCAGGCCCAGCAGGACCCAGCACACCCAGGATCCAGGGAAAAGCGAAGTATAGGTGAGAACGCATGATGGGGAACATGTGTGCAGGCGCAGGACACGCCACCTGGACAGTGCCTGGGGACGGGGCTTGGCGCCAACACCTAGAGATGACACAGGCAGAGAAGCAGGCCTCGGTGGCCAGCCTCTGGACAAGCTGCCCGGGTCAGTCCGCTGCACTGGAGGGAGCCATGCGGGGAGTCCCAGGGCTCAGCCGGACACCACCGGCCCTCAGGGGCTGAGCAGCACCTGCCCTGCCCCCCCTCCATCAGCCGCTCCCTCTCTCCTGTGCCTCCTCCACGCCCAGACGCCGGGCACACGTGGCCCCAGGGTCAGCCAGGGCCAAAGGGCAGCAGGCCCAGCCCTCCAAAGGGAGACCTCGGGTCCCGCCGTGCCCTGACCCCAGCGCCCCTGCAGCCCTGTCACACCCACCACCCCACGGGGAGCGTGGCAGTGCCTAGGTTCCCCCCTTCACCAAATGGGGTTGAAAGGGGCCTCGCTTCCTGGTTTCTCCGATGGAAACGCGGAGGACCAGCCAGCGTCCAGCTGCTCTGGGCGCCAGGCCACAGGAGGCGGGGGCGGGGCGGGCCCCCCAACAGGCCACGGCCCCCGTCCCCACAGCCGAGGCCTGGGAACCGCCTGAGTGAGGGACCCCCAGGCAGCCGGGAGGGCGAGCAGCACCAGCGCGGACCAGCCTGCAGGCCGGAGGCCGGAGCAAGCTGAGGACACGCAGGGCCCCCAGGCGCTCACCACCAACATGTGTGGGCTTGGGGCTGCCGTCCAGAGCAGGGTCCAGGCTGAGCGCAGAGGGCGGGCACTTCAGGAGGGGGGAGGAGCCACTGGGAGGACTTCAGGTACCGAAAGGGGGTGTTCCTCCATTGGGGGGCCCAGGGTCGCAGGGGACGCGCCTTTGTGCTTTCTCAGGGTTGGGACTACTGTCCTCCCAGGGGTCAGGACGGGGAGGGTCGCTTGCAGAACCCTGAGAGCAGGTGTGGCGGCCTGGGCCCCCAGACCCGAAGAAGGTGGTCAGCGCGAGGGCCAGGGGCCAGGACCGCCTCCAGTGGGGACGGGGCCAGCCAAGGTCCTGACTCCCTGGCCACCCCCTGCGCCCTGAAGACACCTGCTCTGCCCCTGACGGTGACTCCGGTGACACAACGCCACGCCACCCTCGCACCCACATCAGACATGCGGGCACTGGGCCACATTCACACTGGACACACACGTGGGCACCTACACACCCAGACACAAATACATGTAAGGCACACTGGACACAGCCACTCTGCACACAAGCGCACAGGACACCCTCAGGCCTCGCACACACCCTCCCGGCCAGCAGCGGGCAGGGCCCGAGCTGACCCACGACCCCACCCTGAGCTCCTGAGTCACACACCCCAGAGCTCCTGCAGCGCCCGCCGGAGGCCACGAAGGGACCCTGTGCCCAGGCCCGAGAAGCAGCAGCCAGAGCACGCGCCGGGAGGGGGAGTCTGACGGGCACCCCCGCGGGGACCAGGGCGGCAGGCGCACTGCCCAGCTGTGCCCTCTGCCCAGCAGAGGCCTCCCACCTCCTCCTCAGGCAGCCCGCTGAACTCCAGAGCGGCTCCAGCACAGCCCTGGCCATCCCGCCCGCCCTGCCCGCTCCCCGCGCACGAGCCTGGGGCGCAGGGCCTGGTCCACGGCCGGCCGCTGCCCGGATGCCGCCATTCCTGGGCCCGGCACAACAGGCGCGGCGCTCCGGGCAGGACGCGCAGCGGGGACCGGAGCCAGGGCCACTCAGCCGGGCGCGGTCGGGGCGGCCCTCGGAGGCCGACAGGCAAGGAGGACCCGCGGGGCAGGCCGGCCACCGGGCAGCCTCAGGAGACCGGGCCCGGCCGGCGGCGCGCGGGCATCGGCGGGCATCGGCGGGCATCAGTGCCCCAGTCACGGCCGCTGGGCTCGGGCCTCGAACCCTCAGCTTCGCGGGCCTGCAGGGCCCGGCCGGGCTGGGCGCCCCGAGCGCGAGACCCGTGTGTCCACGCGGCCCCTCAGCGGGACGCGGGCGGCGGCGCTTCGGCCTCCCCGGTTCCGCCGGGTCTCGCCCAGGCGCCGCGGGCTCCTGCGGGCAGCGGGGCGCCCAGACCGGTCCCGGAGGGCGGGCGGCAGGGGCGCGGGGGTGGCGGGGGGCGCGGGGCAGGGCCGCGGGCTGGCCCCCCGCGGGGTCTCTGCGGGCGGGGCGCGGAGCCGGGGCCAGGGAGCGCGGCGGGCTCGGCTCCGGGGCCACGGCCGGGCGCGCCCCGGGGCCTGGAGATGAGCAAGCGCCGGTCGGAGCCCGCGCCCCGGGAAGTGAAAGCGGCGGCCGGAACCCCGTCCCGGCAGGGGCGGGCCGCGGGCGCCACCTCGCCGGGAAGTCCCCCCAAACCGCGGCCCCCGACCCGCGGCCCGCGGGGCGCCGGCCCGCTCCTGGCTCTGGGCCGTGCGGCCGGCGCCCCCGCAGCGCGGTCAGCCAGGAGGTGCCGGCCGGCGCCCCCCGGACACGCGGGGGGGACCCCCAGCCCGGACGCGCGGCCCCCGCGGGCGCTCGCACCCCGCGCCGCACCCCGACCGCGCGCCTCGCCGGCGGCCCCCGCACAGCCCCGGGGGGGCGCGGCAGGCCAGGCCCGGGCGGGCGGGGGTGACAGTCAGCTGGGGGCGCGCCCGGCCGCGGCGCTCGCGCTTGTTTTGCTCCTCGGCGCCGCCCTCGCCCGCGCAGCCCCGCCCGCGCCCCGCGCCCCGCCCCCCGCCCCCCGCCCCGCGCCCCCCGCCCGCGCAGGGCGCCGGACCCCAGGCTGGGCACCGGCACCCCGCGGGGACCCCCGCGCCCCGGGCCCGCCCCGAGCCCAGGGGCCTGGGCAGTCGCCGGGCCCGGCCCCCCGGCCCCCCGGCCCCCCGGCCCCCGCGCCCCCCCGGCCCCCACCGGCCCCCGCGGCCCGCGCTCACCTGGGGGCCGCGCGCGCCCGCCCCGCGCCCCGCAGTCGGCGCTGCGCTCGGGCCGCCGCGCCCCGCTCCGGCTCCGGTTCGGCTCGGCTCCGACCCGCGCTCGGGCCCCGCTCCGGGCCGGGACGAGGAAGTGCCGGGGCCGCCCCACCGGGAAAGTCCCCGCGATCGACGGGCCGCCCGCCCAATGGCGCCGCCGGGCCCGGGGGCGGGGCGCGGGGCGGGGTCCGGGGCGCGGGGCGGGGCGCGGGGCGGGGCGCGGGGCGGGGCGAGGGGCGGGGGGCGGGGGCGGGGGCGGGGGCGGGGCGCGGGGCGGGGGGCGGGGGGCGGGGGGCGGGGGGGGGCCTCGCCGGGACCCGCCCCAGAGCCGGGGCGCCGCCGGGGAGCGGCCGGGGAGGCCCGCGGCGCCCGGGTCCGCACAGCCCCCCGGGGGCCGCGCGCCCGCCCTGGAGGAGCCGCAGGGGCGCCCCGGGCCCCCAGGGGCGCGCGGGCTTCGCGCCGGGGACGGGTCTTCTTTTTAAGGCGTCGTTTCGTTCAAGGGGGGCAGGTTCTCATCCCAGAAGGCGGGCGAGCAGGACCCCGCTCTGGAACAAGGGGCACGTTTGCTCCCACCCCGCCTGCTGAAAACGGGGTCCTGGACAGCCCCGCGCTCAGGATGGGCAGGTCCTGCTTTACAGAAGGTGGGGCTCTGCCGCCCCCACACCCCACCCTGTCAGGGCTGGGGTGACCCCCTGGGGTGCGTTCAGCTACTTCCAGGGTGCCATTAAACTCGCAGAAATTGGGAATTCTGCCTCACTTAATTCGGGAAGTAAGTGCGAGGACATCCTGGTTGGGGGGCAGTGGGGGCTGGGGGGCCGCCCCAAGGCAGGGCACATGTTCTCGGCACCCGGCACCCCGGCCGGCCTTCTCCCTGCTCCATGGAGCCTTCCCTGTCCCATCTTCCAGCAGCTTCTCTTCCTAATCCCAGCCCCACCCCCCTCCAAATGCTGAGTTTAGGGTTTCAGGGTTCTATCAGATGTCTGGGGGTCCTGTGGGAGCCAGGCGGGAAGCCGAGGGGTGGGGGGCGCGAGCTGTCTCTGGCCCAAGTCCTACTTAGAGTGGTTTTTCTTGGTAACAGTTGCTGACCCTTGAACAGCATGAAGGCGGGGGACACTGACCCCCTCCCCACGGTCAAAACTCTCCATATGATTTAAAACCCCCCAGACTTAACGACAGTGACCAGCCCTCGGGTCCCAGGCGGTGGGTTTCAGACCCCGGGTGGCTCACGCGCCGGAGAAGCAGCCACGGCCGCGGCTGGGGCCCGGGGCGCAGAGCCGGTCAGCAAAGCCCAGACCATGCGGGCCGGGCTGGGGCCCAGTGTGGCAGCTGCCCAGCCCGCCGGCCCCGCGTCTCTGCGGGCTCGGGCCACCCTCAGGGCCACGGCTCACGGCCCACGCGGGCAGGGTCAGCCAGGCCAGTGCAGGAAGGGGGTCCTCGGCCAGGCCCGGTGGTACTGGCCCCTTCCCTGCAGGCGCCACCGCCCCACGGGGTCTGCTCACGGCCCACAGGGCAGCCCTGCAAGCACCGGCTCCAAATGGGGCTCCACCCTGCTCACCGACCACGCCGGGCGCCCACACCAGGGGCGTTCATACAGGGGTCACACCCGGGGGTGCTCATGCGGGCTCTCTCTGAAGACACTGCACGCACCCACGGGTCATGAGCATCAACGCAATGATGCAGGGAGAGCCCGGGCTGAGCGCACAGCAGCACGCAGAAACGGCCACAGGCCCAGCCCCCCGCACGCCCGGCCCCCCAGGTCTCAGAGCCCTCAACAGCGCGGCACTGACCCCTCCAGGCCCCTCTCCCCCATCCAGCTGCCTGTCCTCTGAGGCTGCTCAGGCACCTGGGGAGAGGAGGGGCCTGTGACCTGCCCCCCGCTGCAGGTCAGGAACCAAGCCGGCGCCTTCACCCTCCTGGAAGTGGCCCGAGCCCCCGGCCAGCCCCGGCCAGCCCCCCGGGCGGCAGACAGCGGGAGGAGGGTTTCCTAATGCTGGAAAGTCCTGTGGGCCCTGAGCGCCCTCCCCCTCCCTCGGCACCCCGCCTCACCCTCCTGCGCCTCTGCCTCGCCCGGGAAGTCCTGGGACAGGACCACTCGACTCCCTGCTCCCCCAGGGACTTCCCTGGAGAGCTCTGACCACCGTGGAAAAGCTGGACACTGTGAACAAAGCCGAGGCTCCCCCGAGCACAGCCCAAGCCCACTTCCATGGGAGGCGACCCAGAAGGTCAGTGCCTGGGAGCCAGTGCTGGGCCCCCAGGCACCCCTGGGCTCCAGCCCCCGGGGCCAGGCAGGCAGCCGGGGAGCCCACTCGCTCCCAGGGTCACTCAGTCCCCCACAGCCCACCCACCTCAGGAGCAACAACAGCTCACACCTTCACGTGAGGACACATCCACACGCACAGACACGCACAGACACGAGACACACTCACACGCAGCAGACTCACACGGGCACCCACGGCCGCGCACACGGGCAAGACTCCACCTCAGACGCGTGCCCCAGCCCCCGCCCCGCCCGGCACCAACACCGTGACTCCCCCCACACGACCACATTCACCCCGTAACACGGCTTCCTTTCTCGGGGGAAGGGTAAGACAAAAATAGACCTTTTTTCCTTCCCTTTGGAAAAATCAGCGTCAAACAGAAGACAGGCTGAGAAGCAGGACGGCCAGGGGGCTGGATGAGGAACGGGGCAGGAGGGGTGCCCAGTGTCCACCCGTCCACCCTGCGGGGGAGGGAATGGGCCCGGGGGGCAGCCTCCTGGGGTCCCGGGGTCCTGCCTGCTCCCCCCGCCCCTGCACTTACCTGGGGCAGCGTAGGGCTGGGCAGGCCGGCGGCTGTCCCCAGGCCAGCTCTGGGCTTCTGCAGGAAGGAGGCTGGGGCTTTCGGGCAGGCGGGGAAGCCCCATGGGAGGGGCAGGCAGCCCTGTGGCCCAGCTGAGGCCCCTCCCACCCCAAGGCCTGGGCAGTCCCCACCTGTCACTTCCCACATGAGCTGTCCCCCGCCGCCCCGCCCACCACCCCGCGCTCCGGGGGGAGCCTGCTGGTCTGTGGCCCGACCGCCACCACCCCTGGTGCTTGGGCACCTGGACACCTCCCAGCTCCAGCGGGGGAGGTGAGGCCCAGCCCCCCAGGAGGTCGCCAGATGCCCACCCCACATTCGTTGCCCTTCCAACCCTGCCCATTTGTCCCCCCGGCCCCCGCAGGGAAGGCCCCCAGGAGGAAGGTAGATGTCCCTGGGGCCTTGGGGGCTGCCCAGAGCTGAGAGGTGCGGGGCCTCTGGGCACCCCCAGTGCTCATGGTCCTGGGCTGGCTGGGGGCTGCCCACCCCGGCCTGGTCCCCCCACACTGGGTGAGGTCATGGGACGGCGTGAGCGGGGAGCCGCAGGGGCAGCGCCGGCTCCTGCCCAGGGCAGGTTCTTCCAGCCCCACCCCTGCTCAGCCGAGGCGCGCGTGGCCCTGGCAAGTCCCGCACCCTCAACCCCTGGCCTCCTCTCGCTAGGTGGTCACCCAGGGGCCTTCCACCCTGACAGGGGAGGAGGCCAGCACAGGCCAGAGGGTGAGGAAGGAACAGCACGGCTGCGGGCCCGAAGCCCGAGCACAGAGCCCAGCGCTTCCAGGCCTCCCTCAGAAGCCCCCCGAGACACTGCCTTCCAGGAGGGAAACCGAGGCTCAGAGTGCTTTAAACTGACGGTCTGCAGGTGGCAGACTGGCGCCCACCCAGGGCAGTCCCGGGCTCACGTCGGAGACTGGGCGGCGCAGCCTCAGAGGTGTGAGCCGGGACTGCCAGTCCCACAGGAGGACTGGACGGCACCTGGCACCAGGGCCCCGCAGCACTGGCCCTCTGCTGACCACACATGGCCAGCCCGGCCAGCTCATGGCTTTGACCTTGCAGGTTTTCTGAGTCACCGGTGCTGCTGAGTGTCCCCAAGGCCGGGGAGGACCAACCCGGGTCTGGATGGATTCCGGGGCCCACCCTAGAGACGGGACGGGGAGGGAGGCCATCAGCCAGGCAACCCTGGGCCCCAGGCCCCTGGGCCCTCCACGGGAGAGTCCCTGGCCACCCGCAAGCACCATCCTGAGCCGGCAGTGGGCACCAGGTGCTGATCCTGCCAGACGTCCAGGCTCCACCGAACCCACTGCTTGGGCACATCTCCCTCATGCCGTGTCTCCGGCCATGCGGGCAGAAAGCTAAAAGAGGTCACAGGCTCCGAGCAGACGCCAGCGTTCCCACCCAGTGACCCAGCGGCACGCAGCTCCCCCTTGGTGACCTTTCGCAGCGCCCTCCACACGGGGCTCACTCCTCGGGGCACTGCCCACACAGCCCAGCCCGGCGTCCTTGCGGCAGCTGCTGTGCCCGTGCTCATGCCCACTCCTCACCACCCGGGCTTTGCACAGGCCGAACCTCTGCCTGCAGCCCCCTCCCAGCCCCGTGCTTTGAGCCTGCGGAGCCTCTTTATTTTTCAGGTCAAATACAGTACCCCCGGGGCTCACCGCTCCCCCAGCCCCTTGCCCCTGTCCTGCACTCCCCAGCCCCCCCCCCAGCCTGTCAGGCGCTCTCCCGCGAGCAGCTGCCTCCTGGCTCCCTGTCGCCTGGCTCCCTGCTCTGGCTGTCAACAAGGGGAGGGGCCCTGCTAGCTCCCAGTGGGTGGGGACCGGGGCTGGTGACCGCCCGTGGGTGCGCAGGGTGGTCCCACCGGAGGAGGGAGGGGGGCAGGGGCAAGAGCACAAAGGTCAGCTGGTGCCCAAGGGGGCACCGAAGGCAAAGCTACAGCCGAGGACACGTCCCCAGCCTCCCGCCTCTGCAGGAACAGCCGCCTGGTGTTGCCCGGAGCCCCGAGGCCACGGTCCAGCCTGCGTGTCACGGGACAGACACCTCAAAGCCGTTCCAGTGGACGATTGCCTCGGCCGCTTCCGCATGTGACCATGGTGGCCACCTCTGCCCCTCCCCTTCCTGGCGTGAGAGGGCAGCTCTCCCGGCCTGTCCACACGCTGGGCAGAGCTGGGCACTGGAACTGGCCCATTGGGGGTTTCATAAATACTGTAAGGGCTGCACCTCCGAATCTCCTGCCCAGTCAGACTTGCTGGGGGTATCTAAGGTGAGCGGTCAGCCTGGCCGCACAGGGGGCCTGGCGGGGGCTCTGCACGCGTCCAGAGGCCGCCGACCAGGTTACCTGCACCAGTGCCTCTGCTCTGGCCCCGCTCCTGATGCCCGCTCCAGCTGGTTCAGAGCAGGGGCCAGGCACTCAGGGTCCCCAGTTAGCACTGGGCGGTGTCCCAGGACAATCTCCAGGGAGCCCGTCCCTTCCCTCGGGCCCAGCACACCAAGCAGGGTCAGTGTGGAAGGGGAAAAGCCCTCCAGGTGCTGCAGGGAGAGGGGGAGGAAGCCCAGCCTGAGTCTTCAGAGGAGGGATGAGGAACACCGCAGAGCTGTGCTTGCCAAGGAAGCGGACAGGATGGCCCCAGCACGAAGATGCCCTGGCCGGAGAGAGGGGAGGCTGGGCCGGGGTGCAGAGACTGAGGCTGAGCCGACGTGGCAGCCCAGGCGTCCAGCCCTCCGGCTACTGCTCTTGTGCAGGCCCCCCACCCCCACCCACCCCGGGCAGCACCCAGGCCAAGCAGGATCCTTGCCAGCCAGCGGCCAGGAGGCTGGGCCAGCCGAGAGGAAGGAGCGTCTGACCTCGGAGGGCCCGGGGACTTCCCAGCTGAGGTCTCCTGTCTATGCAAATGCTGTCCTTCCTACACCCTGGGCGGTTGCGGGCCGCAGAGGAAGTGGGGGGGGGGCGGGGGCACGTGTCTCCAGCGCCCAAGAGCAGGGGGGCTGGGTGCAGGCACCACAGCACCGCCCGGGTCTGGGGACGACCGGGCGGGTTTGGGGCTGCCGCTGCTGGACAAGGGAACGGTGGTGACCAGGCTGCCGGTGGGAAGAGGGCGAGCTTCATCCTAGGGGTCCCGGGGAGGGACTGGCCGACCCTGACCCCTCCCACCCGCCCCGCCCCACAGCAGGGCGGCTTCCTCAGCTGCTGGTTGGGGACGCCCCACTCCTATGCCTCCCCGGGGAATCCAGGCATCTTGGGCCCTGGCAGCCGCTCTGGAGGAGCAGGGGCCTCATCTGGGGTCGGGGTGCAGGCAGGCCAGCACCAGGACGATGAGCATGCCACCAGGGGCGGGCGGCCGGCACTGCCGTGGGGACACGCGTGCAGGGGCGGCGACGGTGTCCTGCTCTGGGCTGCGAGGGGCCCTCTGTGCGCAGATGCGAACCACCTCCCCAGCCTGAGGCCGCCCCTCTGCCAATCCCAGGATTGAGAGTGAAGGGACCGCGGTGCCGAGGGCCGGGTCGGGGGCAGAGTGGCCCCTGGGGCTGCTCAACAGGGTCTCCAGGTCTGCACCCACACACCTTCTTGGAAACAGAGCTCAGGAGGCATCTGAACTTGGGAGGGGGCCCGGCACTGGGCAGGGTCCCCTGTGGGCACACCCCCAGCCTCAGTGGGCCCCGGAAGGCCGGGGAAGGTGAACAGGCCAGAGAGAAAGGACGGACCCCAAGCTCCGGCCACCAGGCCTCAAGGAGCTGAATGCAGCTGGGTGGACACCCGCGGGCTCTCCCCGGCTCTCCCGGCTGGGCTGAGGCTGGGAAGTGGACACCACCTGGGACTGCCTGACCTGCAGCCCAACTGTACCCAGCCCAACTGTACCCAGCCCACGCCCTGGGCACGCGGGCAGCGGTACCCTTGTGGGCTCCGAAGAGGAAGTTCGGGTTGGGGGAGATGGACGCAGAGCCCAGGGAGTGCCAGGCAGTGCCGGTGCCCCGCCCAGGCGGCCTGCCCACACACCCTCGCTGGGCGTTCCTGGAGGGGCGAGCGGGAGGCCTGGGGACAACTGCCGGACATGGGGACAGCGGGCTGCAGCTCCCCACAGGCGTGAGGGTGGACAGGAGAGGTGGATGGGGCGGAAGACGGGCTCCGACTCGGCCCCGCTCCAAGGCCACCTGGGGTGGGGGCTCAGCCACCCAGGCCAGTCCCCCCAACCTGCCCCCACACAAAGCACCCGGTCACTCGCTTTGGAGGTTCAGTGTGGTTGTGCATTTCACAGGACCTAAGTGGGGGCCAGGAGGGCGGGGCGGGAGCCAGAAGCCAGGAGGGCCGGGACGTGGGTGGCGGGGACCTCGCCAGTGCTCCCGCAGCTGGGATGTGAGCAGAGGTGACGACGGGGTGGCGCCTTCCCCAGAGCACCGTGAGGACAAGCAGGGGCTCCAGGCTGCTGCGCCAGACGTGGCTGTGGCTGGGCTCGGGCAGAGAGGCTGCTGGTGGGCTAGTCGTCGCCGCCACAGATGGCCAGCAAGGCCTTCAGGAAGTCCCCAGAGGTGTCGCCCTGGGGGCACAGGGAGGCCGGTCAGCGAGCCACCCCGCTGGCCCGGGCACCCCCTACCTCGACGCCCCCTGACCTTGACAGCAGGCCTTGCCCCCTGACCTTGATGCCCCCCCATGGCCCCTGACCTCAACAGCTCCTCCCACCCCTGACCTTGGCAGCCCCCCACGCCCCTGACCTCGATGGCCTGGCGCAGGGACTTGTCGTATTTCTCCACAAACTCCCGCCGGATGTTGAGCAGGTCGACCTCGCTCCGAGAGACCATGATCCTGGTGAGGGTCTTCTCATCCGTGCCAGCGCCCTGGGGGCCGGGCGGGCCGCGGCAGGTGGAGGAGCAGCATCAGGGCCCGTCCCGCCAGAGCAGGGGCATGGGCTGCCCCTCCCCACCCTCTTCCCCGCCCCCCTCCCCTCCCCCTCTTCCCCGGCCTCCTCTCCTCGCCCCTGCGCCCCCCCGCACTCCCCAGCCTCAGCCTCACCTTCATGGCCTTGTAGAGCTTGTCGGCAAAGAAGAGCGGCTTGTTCCTGACGCTCTGCACTGTGGGGACAGGAGCCACTGGGGGCGGCTGCTGGCCTGGGCCGCGCCCACACCTACCCCTGCCGGCCGGGGATGGCTGGTCCTGGCCAGGCTCCCACAGCCCAGGGAGGGCCCCCTGGAAGCCCAGCCCCCGGCCACAAACTCCCACAGACTCCCACAGTCGAGAGCCACCTGCAGCGGCAGCTCTTCGTGGTTCCAGGGTGGCCACAGCCCCTCGGGGCGCCGGCTCCTCATGCCCACCCCAAGTCTGAGCTCTGAAGGGGCCCCAGCTGGCACAGCTGCCAGATACCCAGGTTAGCGCGAGCCCGGGAGGCGGGACTGTCCGGGAGAGGCCGCTGCTTGGCAGGCACTCATGCCCTGGCCACCTGCCCCAGCTCCCGCTTTCCTTGCCCCCAAGTCCAAGGTGCCTTTGCCACACCTCTGTCCTCTGCCCGCCTGCCCCCCACTTCACGCTCCCCATCCCTTCTGCCAGCTGCTCGATGGACACCAGCCCGGCACCTCCTCCAAGAAGCCTGCCCTGACTGCAGGCCTGACACAGTGCCCGGTCCACCCGAGTGCGTCCACCCAAGCGCTTCCCGCGGCCTCAGGAGGGCCGGGCTCTGCACGCAGGGGTCTGCACAGTATGCCAGGGTCCAGAGTCCTGCGGGACCCATGCCCTGATGTCCCCCAGCCAGTGACGCCAGGAGAGCCCCCCAACCTGCCCTGCAGGGAGGTGCCCTCTCGTCCCCAGCCCCACATCTGGCCGGAGCCGAGCTGGTCAGCGGCAGGCAGGCTGGCTTCCTGGGGGAGGTGCAGGAAGGGCCGAGGCCACACCCACACGGAAGCCCTGTCCACAGCCCCTGCCCGTGGGCACCTCCACGTCCCCGCCCCCCATTACCGATGGCCACGAAGGCATCCCTGACGTCCCCAGACATCTCCTTCCTGATGACATGCTCCACATCGTAGTTGGTCTTTTTGACGAATTCCTGGAAGACTGCGGGGGCAGGGAGGTGGGCCCCATGCAGAGACCAGGCCCAGCGCTGCCCCATCCGGCCCAGGGCAGTGAGGCGGGGGCCGTGGCTGCTGCCAGCCCGCTGCCCGGCACAGAGTGGCCGTGGAGGGGAGTGTGAGCCCAGAGGGCTGCTGGGAGGGCGCAGCCAGGGTGGGGCTGGGTAGCCCCATACAGACGGGGGGGGGGCGCAGATACCCAGGGTCACAGGCAACGCGGATGTGGCCGTGGAGGACGCAGGTCCCCAAGCTCGGTGGGGCTCGGGGGCTGCCACCCTGTCCACCCGCCCGGGGCAGGTCCCCCTGGCCCAAGCATAGATGCTGGCCCCTCTGTGCCAGGCCCCAACCTGGGCAGCAGCTGGGGTGATGCCACCCGCCGGCCTACCCCAGGCCCCTCCCCCCAACACTGGCTCGAGGGGGAAGGGCCTCACCCCTGCGCAGGTGCTGGTGGCTCCGTGTGCACAGGATGGTCATGAAGCGGGTCTCCAGGGACATCTTGTCCCCGCTGGTCGTGTCCGCTATTTCCTGCAGCGCCCGGCAGGCCGGGGAGAGGGCAGGACGTCAGCCTGGCGGGCACTGGCCAGCTCTGCGGCCCCTGAGGCCTGGGCTCTGGGCTTGGCCCCAGGAGGTGGGCTCCGCCATTGCAGGGGAGCGCCCCAGTGGGCAGCGGGCAGCTGCGGAAGGCCAGGCCAGCTCCAGCCGGCCCCACGCACTTGGACACTGAAGCCCTCGGCCATGACGGGTTCCGGCCAAACGACCGACAGAGAGAACCGCAGGCGGCGGGCGGCACAGGTGTGTGGGGGCGGGGGGGTGCTGGGCTTGGGGAAACGCGGCCCCTTTGCCACCAGCAGGCTCCTAAGAGGCCCTGGCGGGGAGAGAGAGAAGCCGCGGGACCCTCATCACTGCTGCCTGCCCCTGCCCGGGCCCAGCCACGCGGACCTCGCGACAGCAGGAAGGGGACTCACCAAGATCTCAGCAGCCACCTGAGAGGGGCGGAGAGAGGGGGAGAGAAGGAGCGAGTCAGAGGACCCGGGAGGCGGCCGCTCTGGCCAGGGGTCCAGAGGCCCCAGGAACGCGCGCAGCAGCAGCAGGCAGGGAGGCGGCAGCCCCCCCCCCCAGAGCTGGGGGCCTCAGCCCACCTGGGGCTGGGAACTCACTGACCCCGGGGCCGGGCGGGCACAGGCGGACGCCAGCCCTCACACAGGCAGCGGCGCCCCTCGCGCCGGTCCCCACGCGTCCAGAGGCCCGCCACGGGCCCCGCTGCAGACAGGCGAGCCGCGCCACGCCGACGGGGGAGGCAGGGCCCGGCCCACAACTCAGACGCCGCGCTGGCCGGCGGCCGTGACCACCGCCTGGGGCCGACCCGGCCCGGAGGCCACCCCGAAACCCTGCGGCCAGCGGGCCGCCCTGAGCTCCGAGAGCCCGGTGCCTCGGGCTCCTGGCCCGGACGTGCGGCTCCCACACAGCGGGGCGCGCGGCCTCACCGGGCCGGCGTGTTGCTAGGGCTGCACCTGGGAGACCACAGGGCCTGGAGGGGCCCGCCCGGCACCCCGACACAAGGGCCGGCTGCGGTCACCCAGGCAGCTGCTGCAGCGCGAGGCTGGTCTCCGCTGTGGTGAGGCCCGGCCGCGCCCAGTGACCACGCCCGGGGCAGCGGCCTCCAGCGGAGGGGACGGTGCGGGCAGCCGACCGCGGGGCCTCCTTTGAGGACGGGGTGGGGTGGGGGTTGCGTTTTAGTTTTCCTGAAATCTTACACGTCCGCGACTTGCAAATATGTTGTTCTTATTTTAACGGGCAACGGGGGTTCCTGGGACTTCATGCTTCTGCTTTCACTGGCACGCTCCTTACACGTGGAACTGTGGGGCCCCCTTGGCGCCTACGCTCAGCCACACTGGCCAGCCCAGGTGGAGGAGACGCTAGGGGGCCCGGGGTGGGGGCTGGCAGGGGCGGGGAGAGCTGGGGGCTGCAGGGTGGGACGCGTCCCGGCCGCACAGCCAGGCGTGTGCCCGCCTCAGTGGCCGCGCCGTGTGCCACCGAGGACGGAAGGTTCAGTACACGCCTGCCGTTCCCTCATGTATGTGAAAACGCTGTGGGAGGCTGCAACAACTCCCTAGACACTCAACACAGGGAGACTCCTCCTCGTGCTCCCGCAGAAATGAGCCCCGGAAGCTCCCCGGAAAGCTCAGCAGAGAGCACCCCACCTGCCCCAGCACCCCCGTGGGTGCAAAGACGGGCTGGCACGCACGCCCCAGCCGGCAGCTGCCCACGGAGTGAGTACTGCCCACCAGCTGGCCAGCGGTCAGGAAACAGCCTCCGTCCCTGCTGTGGGGGCTACGGGCAGAGGCCGGGAAGGACGCGGACCACTCACAGCGCAGTGAGCCCGGCAGAGGCAGGAGGGCACAGCCGGTCCCCAAGGCCATGGCGTGTCCGAGACCACTGACGTGAAAGGTCTGAGACAGGCGGACAGACGGGAAGCGGGCGGGGGAGCGGGGAGGCCTCCGTGGGGGTGGGTGGCCTCCTTCGGCTGGGGGGCAGCTGGGCTGGTGGTGCCTCGGGTTACACGGGGTGTGGGTGCGGCCCTGGGGACCCTGTCAGCAGAGCTGCCCCAGGGATGGTGTCGCTGAGAGGGGCCATGACAATCAGGCAGGCCACGGGCACAGGCCACAGCCGTTAGCAGGGGAGGGGCCGCGAGGCACGGGCACTCCCGCGAGACCAGGGGTGCTCAGACTCCACAGGAGGCAGCACCAGCAGGTACGCGCTCCTTCGAGAGGGTGACTGCCCAGCAGCACTGTCCAGTTCCCCCCGTGTCCCTCCAGCTCCCTTCCAGAAATCCAGGGAAACTCATGAGTGTGCTCAGGGAGCTGGTGGCCAGGAGAGCAGCTGGTAGTGTGGCAGCTTCTGAAGTGAAATGCAGATGCTCCTGACTCACGGTACTTGGACTTACGATGGCGTGAGATCAAGGGCATTCGCTGGAGACCCGGCAGCGCGGGGTGGGAGTCGTGGCGCCCGCCAGCCTTTCCCCTCACGACATTTTAAACTTAGAACAGGTTTCTCGGGACATAACCCTACGGTAAGTGGAGGCAGATCTGCAGTATGTAGCCTTTCAACGACGCTGGTTTCTGAAATCAGTACGCAACAGGCCTCCCAGGTGGAGCAGGGGTTAGGCCTCAGCACTGCGAAGCTATCGGCAGACACTGCAGACACTGTGGCGCGAGTTCAATCCCCAGCCAGGGAGCTACCCACATGGCGCGGCAGACCCCTCCTGTCTCCCCGCTGCTCCCCTCAGCAGTGGATTTCAGTCCATCTGCCTGTTCTGCAACCCGCTCTGTCTCTGGTGAATCCTCTCACACACCCCCCCCACACCTCTGGTCTACACCCCAGCTCTTGCATGCACAAATAAAAGAAATCTTTAAAAAGGAAAAAGAAAGCAGCGTGCAACAGCATCCACCAAACTCGCTCATGCACATGAATCGGCCAGAGCCACACACTGAGACACCAGCCGTGCCGGCCGCGGGCGAGGGTTTGGGGAGGGGGCCTTGTCCCCAGTTTCCAAAGTTTCTACAGGAGAACATGTTGCTTGTGAAACAGAGACTTGTGTGAGGGGGCAGGGGCGGGGCCACCCAAGCTCGGCAGCTCTGGGTCTGGGGAAGCAGCGAGCAGCAGGGCCCAGAGGTGTCCACACAGCTTCTCTCTCTCCCCTCCTTGCCTGCGAAGCCACCGCTGCCCCTGCCGGCAGCCACTGGACAAGCAGCCTTGGGCAGCGGCCTCAGTTGGGAGAGGGACTTCAAGGAGGGAGTGGCGGGCCGGCTGGGGTCCACGGGGTTCACGTGGACGCAGGCCGCAGGGCCGGGGCCCAGGCTAACCCCCAGGCCGCTGCTCAGCAGCAGGCCGGACAGGGCCCGACCTCTCCTGACTCAGCCACTGAGGGTGCTGGGGCCACAAAGCAGGACAGAGTGAGCCCCAGGGTCACCCAGCCACTCAGAGGCCGCCCTGGCTGGGGGCTCCACTTCTTGGGGATGGGCTACTAGTGAGCAGCCAGCCCGGCCTCTCACTGGAGCTGCGGGCAAAGCCGAAGCCAGGGTCAGCCCCCAGCAGTACATGGGGTGCTGGAGCGGCAGTCTCGGGGGTCAAAGCCCTGGACCTGGGGTTCGGGGAGGGGGGCGAGCAGAACAGACCACCGCTCCGCCCGTCCCAGCCGCGCTCCAGCTCTCGCTGTGCTGCCCGGACGCCCCCGTGAGCCGCGGCCCCGCCCGCCAGCTCAGCCTGGCCCGGTTCCGCCAGACCACCCCCGAGGTCCATCCCCTGGCCACGGTGAGCACCTCGGCCTGGATGGTCCCCACGCCCCGTCCAGCAGTGGGCCCAGGGCCCCGGGCCTCTTCCCCAAGGGCCCAGCCAGACCAGCAGCAGCCCCGCCCTGGAGGCGCCGCCTCTCCCTGCCGCCCGGCCCCCGCGGGGCTCACCTGGGCGTCCTCTCGGGCCTGGTCCCGGTCTTCTCCTCCCTCCTCGCGGTTGCCCTGTGGCAAGAGCAGCAGGGAGGTCAGTGCCCGGCCGCCTTCCCCAACCCAGCCACAAGGCACCCTCACCCGGCCCTGGACCTGCTCTCCCTCTGAGACGGGGCAGGCCTGCCTGCGGGGGCTGCCGCAGCACCCAGTGGGCGTCCAGCAGGCCCCTGGCAAAGGCTGCCCACCACGGCGAGCCGAGTGTCCCAGGCCCTGCTCTGGGGGCCCAGGAGACAGTGACAACATGCGGAGGCCACCACATGCTGTGTCCTCGGGGCTGGAGCCACGGGGCTGCCGGCACCTGAGCCAGGTGAGGCCACGCACTGCGATGACGGCCGGGGACACCCTCGCCTCATGGGGGACCCTCGCACCCGCCCTCCAGCCCCGCGCCCACGAGGGCACTCACCGTGGCCAGAGAGATGAGGATCCTCCGGAAGTGGCCGGACGTGTCGGAGCTCAGGGCGTCCTCCAGGCTTGTGTGGTAGTCTGAGGCAGAGAGAGGCGTGGGCTGCAGCCAGGACTGGGGTTCTGGGGGGCGGCCGTGAGGGCCGGGCACTGGGGGCACCTTGGGGCATCCAGTCCCCTGCTGTTGACGGTGACACGCCCCACCTCCCGCCCACAGGCCCACGCTGACTGTCCTCTGGCCCCCACGCCTGCATGACAGGTGCCCAGGCGGGCCCTGGCACACGGTGTCCGCAGCTGCCGCCAGCAGGACTGCTGACCCTGCTGGCCGGGGGTCAGGCTCTTCCCAGTGATGTGTGATCAGTTGTGAATAAGCGATTGAGAATGTCCAGGCGTGGCCAGTGCGGTGCCCAGAGGCCCAGCGCCCCACCCAGCCAGCACCCCGCCCCATCCTGCTGTGACCCTCACGCCGGCCTGAGGCCGGGGGCCCCTGGGGCTCCCTGGGCCCCGGCCCCACTCACCCTCCCTGTAGGCCTCGTTGATGGCCTGGATCTCGGCGTTGCTGCGCGTGGCCAGGATTTCGATGAGCGCCTGTTCATCTGTGCCAGCGCCCTGAGGTTGGGGTGGGGGGCGTCCTGAACTGAGCCCGGCCCCACACTGGGGTGCCACCCACCCAGCCCTCCCGGGTCATCCTCACCCCCAACCAGAACCCTGGCTCAGCCAGGCCCGACCACGCCAGCTGGTCAGGAACCCCACGAGGTCCACCCCTGCCCCTCACCCGTGCCCGCAGGCCAAGTCCAGGTGGCCGATGGGGCCTGGGTGGGCAGCACAGGGTGTTTTATCTCCCTCCTCGCTCTGTGCGTTTCTACAGTGGACTGTGCTGGCACATTGTGAAGCTGAGGAGGGACAGGGGATGGGCCCAGCGGGCCCTGGACAGGGCAGCTCGGGACCCCCTGGTCAAAGGAGCCACTCTGGGGCGGGGCAGGCAGATTCATAGGCGCCTAAACACCCGCCACGGGTGGTCACTGCGGGTGGCAGGGGCACAAAGCCAGTTTCCTCAACTCCAAATGGCAAATGGGAGGCACCGAGAGCCTCGCGGTAGTGGAGAGGGGAGTGGGGGCCAGCCCCCAGGACAGCGGAGGACGGCCTGGACCGACAGCGCCCTAGCAGGCACTCGCTGTGCTCGCTGCTGCCCAAGGACTGCGCCCAGGGCCCCAGGGCAAGCCGGCTTGTTGTCCCATGCGGGGGCAGGCTTGGCCTGTGCCGAGAAACTGCCCGCACCCTGCGCAACACCAGCTCCACCCAGACGTGGCCAGTGGACACCGGCAGGGACCCCATGTGAGCCAACCAGCGAAAGCGAAAGGGCAGGCACGAGCCATCCCCCGTGTCCAGACATGCACCCAGACGAGCCACGCCTAAGCCCGCGCCTCTGCCTTCCCGCCCTGGTGTCCACCAGGCCGGCTCCCGTGGGCGCCACCAGGAGGCAGCAAGCAGCCCCCAGCCGTGGGGTGCCTGAACCCGGCCCACCCTACCCTGCCCCAGCACCCCAACCTCACGGCCCCCCTCAGCCACACCACCCCCACCCCGCTCTCCCCACCAGGCACACCTCCATGGCCTTCTTCAGCTGCTTGGCGTCGTAATGGGCCGGGGGCATCATGAGCCCCAGGATCAGCCTGGCCAGGTCCCCGGAGATCTCGGACTTCAGGTCAGCCATCAAGTCCTGCAAGCAGGCCCGGCCACCCAGCTCAGCGCCCACAGGTGGCCGCCACAGGCAGGGATGTGGAGTCAGAGGATGACGGCACTGTCCCTCCCCGGGCCTCGCGGCCACCCCTCGCACCCCGGGGCACACACCGCCAGCTAGGCCTGGGCCTGGGGCCCCTGCAGTGGGCACTGCAAGGCCCAGACCCCCAGGCTGCCACACAAGTGGGACCCCACAGCCTGAGCTGACCCCCACCCCTCCCCAGTGCCAGCGGGCGGCCCATCACCCTCAGGGCCACCGCAGAAGCCGTGGACACGCCTGGCAGGACAGCCGTGGGGCGCGCGGGGGCCTCACCCGGCCGAAGTGGGACTTGAAGGTCTGGCGGATCTGCTGCCGCTGCGCGTTGCTGCGGTGCGTGACGATGTCGATGATGGTGGCCTCGTCAGTGCCTGCACGGAGCGCACGCTCAGGGGGGCCGACGGCCGGCCCTGGCCTGCGCTGCCCCCTGCAGGAGCCTCCTCGGCCCCTGTGCCCCCGTGCGAACGCGGCCCTGGTCTGGACAACCGTTGAGCCCCGCCCCAGCCCCCAGGAGCCCGCAGGGCCCGGTCCCTACTCCACGCCCTGCACCCGACACCCCGAGGCACGTGGCCGCCTCCCAAGGGACAGCTGGGCCAGCAGCCAGGCCATCAAGGCCCCATCCACGGGCCTCCGGCCCCGCCCCACCCTGCAGTCCTAGCCAGCCACAGGGACTGCTACTCCACGGGCAGGTGAACCAGGCGTGAGGCAGCACCCAGGGGTGCTGGGGCAGGCCTGAGGGCTGAGAGGCCCACGGGTGTGTCCCGCTGGCCTCTGCGAGGAGTCCCCGCAGAGCCGCTCTCCCTGTTGAGGGGTGACAGGGATGCCTGCACCCCAGAAACAGGCCTCTCGAGTCCTCTTACACAGAGAGGCAGGGGCTCCCTACTCTCCCAGCCCAGAGGTGCAGGTGGGGGTGGGGGCCACGAAGAAGCCCTCCTGCCAGTGGCCTCTCTGGGCCCCGTCCGGCCCTCACCTAGCCCCTTCATGGCTTTCCGCAAGGCCTTGGCGTCTGCGTCGGGGTTGAAGTCCTCGGCGGCGCGCACGGTCCCCTTCAGCTGCAAGAAGCAGGGGCACTCAGTGTCCGGTGCCCTGGCCGCAGAGAGGAGCATGCGAGGGGGCCTGGCCCACAGCCCCCAACCAAGCAGCCTGGGGAGGGGCAAAGGTGCAGCAAAGAGAACCCCCAGCAGAGACCCGCTGGGCAGGGCGGTATCCTCGGGGCGGTCGGGCCAGGAGGCCAGCTCCTGACCCTGGGGCCGCCCGAGGGCCCACCCTGCCCCTGGGCTCTGCTTCATTCACCACGAGCCGGTCCCCCAGACACAGAGATGCTCTGACCGCCCAGAGGTTCCCAGGTCCACTGGGTCCTGCACCCCCTGGGCCGCCTGCACCTGCCCTGCGCCCACCCCCAGGGCCTCGTTCTGACCGGCACTCGGCGCCCACTCCTGGGCAAGGGCCTGTCTGCTGTCTGGCATGGGAGGGAGTGCTGAGCCCTCGCAGGAGCAGTGACACCCTCAGGCCACCCCACCCCAGGGCGGACGGGGACAAACCAGACTCGGGGCCAAGCCCCTCAGGCCGCAAGAGCCAATGGACACAGCCAGGCCAAGGGTGGGGTGGGGTGGGGAACAGCGCCCATGGGGGCTCAGCACTGTGCCACGGGACCCCACACTGAACGCACTTCTTGCGCGACTGGGGGCCGGCGTGGGATTGGGAAGCCTGTGGTGAGCAGAGCCCAAGCGCCCGGGGCCGGGGAGCACCGGGCCGAGCGGCGGGAGCACCGGGGAGCCCAGCAGAGGAGTGAGTCTGGTGGGGTAGTGGCAGAAGTGCTGTGTAGAGTCGCAGCCGGAGCTCGGCGCAGGCCTGTGTCCGGAGCACTGCGCCCTCCCTGCGTGGGCTGCCCGCTCCGCGCTGGCTGCCCCCTCCACGTCCAGCGTGGGCAGGATGACCTGGCCTGCAGCCCCGGGGCCTCTGCTCAGGACGTCGGCTGGGAGGGCAGCAGCAGCCTGAGCCGTGAGGGGCAGCCCACGCGGGAGCCGGTGTTAGTGAGAGTGGGCAGCAGGCCCCGCGGCAGGAGGAAGCGAGGTCAAGGTCGAGAGGTCAAGCGGGGCGGGGAGGGTCTGACCTCTATTCGGGCCACTGCACTAAGTTCCCACATCTGGTAGGCCACCTGCGCAGCCTCAGGGAAGAACTGGCCGGCGGCGCTGGAACGGGCGGAGAGGGCGGTCGGCACGCGGGCCTCACCTGCACCCGTGCACACACACGCACACGTGTGCACACCCCCAGGTGCATCTGCACACAGAGCAACACATATGCACATGGCCACGCACACACACAGAGACACACACGTGGAGGCTGTGCATATACATGCATGACGACACATACACACATGTGGACAGGCCACGTGCGCACACAGTGCACATGTGTGCATACACACGGAGGCACACAGTGAACACACAATATACACAGCAACACACGTGCACACCCAGTGCACACAGAGCAAAACATGTGCACAGAGACACACACGGCAACATGAGACACAGAGGGAGACATGCACGCGCGGCAGCACATGCACACCCACGGACACAGCCACACGCACGCAGCTACACGCAAATGAACAGCACACAGCGGCACACCCCACTCGATACATGCAACACCACAGAGCACGCACCAACACATACAGCCCACGCACACGCACACGCACTCTGCACTCCAGCCGCCTCAGCGCCCCTGCTTCGAGGACCCTGCCCGGCCCCACCCAAGGACGGGCCCCCAGGGCCCCCGCGGCGGCCGCACTCACTCGTCATCGCCCCCACACAGCTTCAGCAGCGCCTTCTTGTACTCGCCGGAGGTGTCATTCTGCAGAGGAGACGGGACGGTCATCCCCGCCCCCCAGACGGGGGCCGGGAGCCCCCAAGACCACCAGCGAGGCCTGGAGGCAGCACAGGGGCAGCTCCGGGTCCAGCGCAGGAGACCCCGCGAGACGGCTCCCGGCGTCCCCCCGCCCCCAGCGCCCGGCCCAAGCCCCTCGCCTTGATCATGCTGTAGAGAGACTTCTCATATTTGGTCCGGAAGATCTCCCGGATGTCCAGCATGTCCAGCTCGCTGCGGGTGACCATGATGCGGATCAGGGTGTTGTCCCGAGTGCCCAGACCCTGGAAGGTGGGTGGGGACAGCTGAGCCTTGGAGTGCGAGGCCCCACCCCTGCTGCGGCCCTGCCCCCTGCCCCACGCGGCCCTGCGCCTGGCGTCTGAGGCGGCCCACAGCCGGCTACGCTCAGTGACGCATTCGGGGCTGCCCTCAGGACTGGGAACACCCACTCGTCCAGCCTCTCCGCTGGCAGGCAGCTGTCCTGCACCCTTGGGTCAGCGTGAGGCCGGGCCCTCCCGGGGGAGGTGTGGCCGAGTGGCCTCCAGCTCTGGCACCACCAGGGACAGAGCGTCACCCTGTCCTGCTGTCACCCAGAGGGCTCCTGTGGGCCCAGGGACCGGCGGTCTGGGCAGCCCGGGGGGGGTGGGCAGACAACCCCAGGCTCGCTCACACAACCCCACACACCTTCATGGCCTTGAAGAGCCTCTCGGCGAAGTACTCGGGGGTGCTCCGGATACACTTCACTGGGGAGGAAGAGGAGGCGCTGCTGGGCGCGGGGGCCCCTGCTCCACTTCCTGGGGCCCCTGGGAACCTGCAGCCCCACCGCTCCCCGGCCTCCACTTTCATCACACACCGGGGGCCAGAAATGGGAAGCGGTGGGCACACTGGCCACTTTGTCTTTCCCGCCCTCTGGGCTGTCCTTGGCCAGGCGGGCCACGGCTCCCGGCCAGGGGTGGCCCTGCCGGCCCAGGGAAGTTTCTGGGACCCTGAGCCGGTGTGCGGGTGGGTCCGGGTGGGCCAGCCCAGGCGGGAATCCCTCTGCACGCCCCCGGGCAGAGCCAATCACCCCACAGGAGGGGGCACAGACCCAGGCCCCTCCACTCAGACCTTCCCCGGCCTCGATCGGGGCGCCGTGAGAGAAAGGGTAGCGCTGCCCACACACGGGCCACCGCAGGCCGGGCCCCTCGCCCCACAGCCCTGCCCCTGGGCGCTCGCCCCGCCCCCACGCCAGGGCGCCTGTCCCACACCCCCCACCCGATTCCAGGCGGGCGGGAATCCCGAGTCCCGGGCTGGGCCCGACGTACCCACAGCCAGCATGAGCTTCTCGAAGTCCCCAGACAGCTCCCTGCGGATGCTGGCCTCGATGGGCATCCCCGTGGTCTTCAGGTACTCATCAAACACTGTCGGCAGAGGGGCCGAGCACCCCAGGTGAGACACGGGGTGATGGGGCAGCGTCCAGGCCCAGGGAGGGGCGCGGGGCTGCGGGCGGCAGGGAGGGCGCAGGGAGGGGCCCCGCTCACCCAGGCGCAGGTGCTGCTTGCTGCGGTTCCCCAGGATGTAGATGAACTGGGCCTCGTCGGTGCCCCACTTCAGCTCACCCGCCTCATACAGGTCCTGGGGGCGGCCCAGCCAGGCACTCAGCAGCCACCCCTGCCTCCTCTCCCCTTCTCTGGAGACCCCTGGTTCACCCTCAGAGCCCGCTACCCACAGCACGTCCCTCTCTGCGTCTGTCTGTCCATCCCTCCCTCCCCCAGGTCCCCACCGCCCTCTGCTCTCGTGGCTGCGGCCCCCGTGACCAAGACCCCCTCCCGGCCTGCCTCCCCACCGCTGCGGGGCTCAGGCGGGGCAGGCAGCTGCCTCCAGGGCCGTGCCCACACCCGCCGGCCGGCGCAGGGATGGAGGGGGCCGTGGACACCGCCCAGCACCTCACCCGGACATCCTGCTGCACCAGGTCCTCGCTGACCACGTCGTCCTCCTCCCTGGTCCCCTGGGCAGAGGCAGGGGTGCACGTTCAGACGGGGTGCGGGCCCACGGGGGGACAGCCCCAGAGGCAGGGTGGGCTCACAACCGCGCCAAAGGCTGAGGGCATGAGGGGTCCCCCCCGGCTGCCACTCCCTCCCCTAAGGATTGGGACAGGACGTCCTTCCAGAAGAACCCGAGGACAGGCCGGCCCCCGCAAGGGCTCACAGGGCAGAGGGACCGCGCATCCCTCCTACTCGGCACGTGCTGTCCCGCGCCCGGAGGGCTCACCCAGAGGCCTTCCCGGGGCCAGAGCCTACGCGCGCCAGGCCCCGCAGCACAGAGGTCAGGGAGAGCACCCTGGGGATGGCGCCTCCCCACTCCCTGAGGGCTACCCGAGGCGAGACCCCGCCAGCCTCCCCCCGCCCTGGGCTACCCGGGACCTCAGGCCCCACCACTCTCTCTGGGACTCAGGGCCAGGCACCCCTCACTGGGACCAAGGGTGGGGGGGACGTCCTTGACTCCCAGATTTGGGTCACAGGCTGGGACTGGCCTCTCCAGGACGCACGGTCTACAATGGCATGGACGCCACCCCCACCTGGGGCCTCTGGGGCCAGCTCCGCAGGGCAGCGTGGGCAGCGGGAAGGGGTGGTCCGAGGCGAGGGGATGCACACCGCAATCACCCATCTGCCATCCACAGGGCTCAGGGAGGGCCCCGCTCCCCCCCACCGGGCCCCGGGGGACCCACCTGCAGCAGGACCACCAGCATCTTCTGGAAGTGCCCGGAGGTGTCGCCGATGACGTCGGCCTCCAGGTCCCGCTCGTAGGCTGAGGGGAGGATCTCAGGCTCCAGACCCACCCGGAGCCGCCCGCCCAACTCCAAACCCAGGTTCCGCCCGCAGGCAAGGCCAGGGTGCAGCTCACAGCCCTCACAGTGGCCCCACGGGCGGGCGTGCCCGCCTCTCCCCACGCCGCCCGCCCCTCCCGCAGGTGGCGGTGGCCACAGCCTCCCGTGCCCTTTCTGGCCACAGCGGTGAGGGGACAGCCCTGCCTTGGCCCTGGGCTCCTGCCCCGCCCAACTTCCTTGGCCCTGAGCACCCCCCAAAATGGCTACAGGCCGCTTCTGCCCAGGGCTTTGGACCTGCTGAGGCATCTTCCCCTTCATGCCACGGGTTCCCGAGTCAGCCTGGCAGAAGCGGGTCTCCCTGGCGCGCCGGGCCCCTGCATGTGTCTCCCTCACGGCCCGCCGGGGCACCTGCTGGCCCAAGTCCCACACGGAGCGGGGAGCTGGAGAGGACCCCCGCCGCGCCCCCCGCCGGCTCACCGTCCTTGTAGGCGGCCACCAGCTGGTGCACCTGCTCGTTGGTCCGGGAGGCCAGGATCTCGATGAGGCACTTCTCGTCAGTGCCCGCGCCCTGGGAGGGGACCACCCGGTCAGGGAGGGCCCCCTGCCCGGCCCACAACCCTGCCCGGGGCGCCTCGCCCCCTTACCGAGACGGCCCCGCCCCTGCCCCGCCCGCCCCTCACCGAGATGGCATCCTTGATCTCCTTGGCGTCCCAATACGCCAGCGGCCGCATCAGACCCACTATCAGTCTCTCAAACTTGCCGGTCAGCTCGTACTTGAGGTCGGCGATGAGGTCCTGGGTGGGCAGGGCCAGAATTGAGCACGGTTCGCAGACCCCCAGCCCGCCCTCCGCAAAGGGCCCTCGGGTGGCCACTGGCCGGGGCGCAGGACAGCCGCCACGGGCACCCTCCCTGCGCCGCACTGTGGGCCCCAGGGTGCGGCCCGCCTCCCCGAGGAGGCGCCGCTAGGCCCCTGCCCAGCGCGTACCTTGCCGTAGAGGGACTTGTAGCTCTGGCAGATGTCCTGCCTCTGCCGGTTGCTGCGGGAGGTGATCAGCTCCAGGATGGCCTCCTTGTCGCTGCCTGAGGAGGATGGCCCATCACAGCCCGCCTCCTCCAGGAAGCCCTCCAGCTTCACTTCTCCTCATCAGCCTCTGCTCACAGGCTGGTGGGGAGGGTTGGGGAGAGCTCTCGGCCCATGGAGAGGGGTCACAGCAGCACCCACGGGCCCCATCAGGCAAATGCGGAAACTGAGGCCTGGAGGGGGTAGGACCCCACCAAGACCCAGGCAGCAGCACCCTAGCAGGGGCGGCACCTCCCAGGGGCAGGGGCCGGGTGAGTGGCCTGGCCTGCGTATTTCACTGTGAAGCTCTGGAGAGGAGGAGGGGAGACGAGACCACGGGCGGGGCTGGTCCCCACCCTGCCTCCTGGCCCTGGGCCGCACCGGGGAGGCCGCCCCGCCCCCCACCCCCTCTTGGCGAGCACCCACCGAAGCCCTTCATGGCAGCGTACAGCGCCTCGGCGTCCTGGCCCGCATCGAAGTTGGGGAAGTCTCGGATGGAGCCGCGGTACCTGGCGCCCTGTGGGGGGGAGGTGAGCTGCCCACCGCCCTGACCAGGCTCCAGCCCCAAACCCGGGCCGGACCCCAGACCCCAAACAGGCCCTTCCCCTGGGGGGGCCTCCGCAGCTGAGCCGGGGGCTGCAGGCCCTCCTGGGGCTCTGGCACTCACAGTCCCCGCCCGCCGGTGTGATCACGGGCAGCCCTCGGGAGCCTGTGCGGAGCCGGGGCCGAGCCCAGTCTCTGCCTGCCCCACGCCGGCTCCAACACCCAGGAGCCAGGAGAGGCCCGGCCCTGGGATGCGGCCTGGGGGTGTCAGTCACGTTGTGTCCTCCAGGCCGCCGGGGGGCAGGTCTGAAGCCTGCGCTGGTCACATGCGCCCAGGCCAGGAAGGACCCCAAGGACAGAGCCGGAGGAGGCGGGGCACGGGGCACAGGCCCAAGGCCGTCACGGGGCTGCGGGGTCCAGCGTGCTGTGCCCCCAAGAGCTGAGACGAACAGGAGCAGGGACGGGTCCCGCCCTCCCCCGCCAGTCCTGGGTCTGTGCCCGACACTGAGGGGGTCCTGACCCAGAGGGGAGGCCCCAGCTTCTGGGAGGCTGCTCACCTGGGGGTTGGCCATGGCCTCAGGTTCTGCAGCGGAAAACACTGTGGAGAAGAAAAGAAGCCATCGGGTCCTCGCGCAGGGCCGTTCTTCCCCAGGCCACCCCTCCTTCCCCGGGGCAAGCCCCCTGCTGTTGCCCCCTGCTGGGCCCCTCAGGCCAGTTCCCCAAAGGCCTGGACAGGGCCGGAGGCCGCAGCTCGGAGCTGGACTCAAGGCCTTCCTCCCGCCCAGCGCCGCCCGGAGCTCAGGGGAGGGTGCAGGGCACGGGCTCAGGGGGACCCTGCGGGGGCACCAGGGCAGTGTCTGGAGGGCGGGGAATCGCGGGGGCTGCTCTCCGGAGAAGATGACAGCAAGCAGGGTGTGGGCGAGGCTGGTGGGAGGGGGGACCGGCCGGGGGCCCAGGCCCCGCGTGGCCGGCGTGGCTGTGGGACGGGGGACGGCGCCTGAGCTGTCCTCTCTGACGGGGCAGAGGCCTCGGGCCTGGCGCGGGACACAGCTCAGCCCTGCCAGCTCGCCAGGCGGGCCCGGGAGACGGCGGCCGCCAAGGGGCAGCACAGCCAAGTCCGGCCTCAAGAGAAAGGAGAGAAGGGAGGTGGCAGGCGGGTGGGGACTGGCGAGCCCGGGGGGCAGGGAGAGAGGGGTCTGGGGCTCCCGCTCAGCCGCGCAAGGCTGCCAGCTCCACCCCACGTTGCTTTGCAAAGGTCGGGGGACCGACTATCGGGGATTCGGGGAGACCCCAGAAACCAAGCTCAAGAGGGCGGGAAGCACAGACACCTCAGCCCGGCCACCCCCCCAAACCCCAATGCGGGGGCAACGACCTATCCTGACCCTGCTCACTCTGGGTCACCAGGGTCGGTGGCACATGGGGCGTCCCCAGTCCCCCGTGGAACCCAGATTCGCACTACATGACCTCAGACCCCCCCGACAGGCCGCGGCCGGCACAGGAAACCCCGCTGTCGCCTGGCAACCGCGCTGGCTCCAGCACAAGCTCCCCCCACGTCCCGGGTAGGCCCATCTGTGGGGCCTGGCGGGAAGCCAGCTCAGGCTTCCCCCGGCCTGGGGCCCCAGCAGCGGGCAGGGAGCGAGCCCCACGCTCGGTGGAGCAACCGGGGGCCAACGCCCGGAAGTCTGGAGCGCGGGGGCGGCCGACGCCTGCTGCCCGGCCTCCGGTGGCCCCCGGCAGCTGGCACAGCCAGGCTGTCGGGACAAGGAGGGGCGGCCGGGGTGTGCCCCAGTCTTGGGTTAGCAGGCTCAGCCCCGCGGGGAGGGGAGTCCTCGCACCCCCCTCAGGCCTCAGGCAGGCCCATCTCCTGCAGCCCCCTCGCCACCGCTCAGGGCCAGTCTGGCTCAAGAGGGGCTCCGGTCCCCACAAAAGTACAGGCTCGGAGTTTCCTTATTTTTTCCTTTCACTTTTCCTAAAAAGCGAGGGCGTGTGGGCGGTTTGGAGCAGGCACCGCTGAGTCAAGGGCTTCCCCACTAGCTGGGAGGCAGTGAGGCTGGGGTGTGCGTGCGTGAGGCCCCCCAGGGCGCCCTCTGAGCCCGCCCAGGGTTCCGACAGGCTGGGCCGCGCACCAGGCGTCCAGCCCAAGGGAGTCGAGGGAGCCCGCATCACAGGGCCCGGCTGCGGCAGGGATGGGCAGGGTGGCTGAGGAAACACGGACACCGACTCTCATTATGGGGAGCGGGAAGCCCCGGCTCCTTCCGGAACCCCCCAGCAGATGGGCCTGCTGGCCTCCGAGGCCCCTCCCAGCCCTCTGGCCTGCTCCCACTGGTTGCGGTGTTTGCAGCCGGACGCTGCGGACACCTGATGGCGCCGAAGTCACTACACCCGCTAAGCCCGTCTGACCACGAGGCTGCCCACCCCACGCCGTCACTGCAGGGTGCCCGCATCACGCCTGCGGTGGGCTGGTTCCGAGCAGCCTCTCCCTGCAGGCGTGCTGCTCCTGCCGTCCTGAGGGGGCCACCGGGCCTCCCTGTGCCCACGGGGCAGCTCGGTGGGCGGCGCTGCTGGGGCATACCTTTGGCAGCCTCGCGGGCAACCAGAGAGCGCAGAGGCCCAGGACCCCTGGCAGGCGGAAGCCCTGCCACACTGGGAGAGCGGGCGCGGGCGGCAGGCCAGGCAGGAGAAGCAGGGTGCACTTACGAAGGCTCCAGTGAGCCCCTCCCTTCCCCCCCTCCCTCCCCCCCTCCTGGAGAGGACAGAGGCAGGAAGAAGAGTCCGCCCCTCCCCCAGAGGCTGGTGGCCCAGCTGTCCCCACTGGTGGCAGCTCCCCAAAGCCCGGCCAGCACCCTGGGACATCTGGACCCTTCTCCCCTCCCGCCCCCCAGGGCTCCTCTGGGGAAGCCAGGCGGAAGGCACCCCTGGCCGCCAGCACCCCGCCAGAGGCACTCGGGTTTCTTAGAGAGCAGGCTCCCTCCTCTGACCCAGACCATCGATCTGGGGGCTGGACCAGGCCCGGAGAGCCCGGCTCCTAGTGCAGCTCAGGTGACCGTGTGCGCAACGTGGGGCAGAGGGGAGCTGCCGGCCACGGGCAGGCGCCTGACCCTCCCCGCACCGACTACCACACCTGACTCGGGAATCCTGTCCACGCGCAGGTCACCGCTGTCCTGCGAAAGTTATGCAAGGGCGCGGTCAACAGCCAGATGGAGGGAACACAGAGCCAGCTCCCCAAAGGGGCTCTGAGACCCTGGAGTGGGGCCTGCAGGAGGGCCGGGAAACCGCCGGGCACCCCCTCAGCTGGGGATCCTCAGGGGGCCTCAGCTCTCCGTAGGGGGAGGAAATTACCCGTCTCCCCTCCCCGGAAACCCTCCCCGGAAATCCCCTGACACTCCAATCACAGGCCGGTTCCCCTGGCAACCAGGCCCCCTCAGGTGCCTCCCAAAGCCGCTGCGGAAGGGCCTGAAAGAACTGCACCCTCAGGGCAGGCGCTTCAGGAACTGAGGCCCAGCCTGGGCAGGGGGCCGGGAGCAGGCCCGGTGTATGCAGGTAGGAGAGTCTGGTCATTGGCCAGACCAAGGAGCGTCCACGGCCAAGGGCCGCTTCGCAACGATGCAAAGAGCGAGGTGGAGTGGGGGTGGGAGCAGGGCGGAGCCCGCCTGTGCGGTCACCGCAGCTCCTCAGAGCAAGGCTCCTCCCGCCAGGTCCCGAGCCAAGCGCCCGCCCCTCCGGGACCCCCGCCCCGCAGGACCACACTGCTTCTCCCTGCGCTGCCCTCTAGGGCCTGCAGGACGCTGGCCTCACGCTGCAGGAGAGCCCACCCCTCCTCGCCTCCCCCCACACACACACCCCACCCCGCGCGACTTCAGAGGGCAAAGAGGGCCATCCCTGCAGCCACCGCCCAGGGGCTCCTCCGCCAGCAGGACGGAAAGTAGCGTGATGGGGGCTGGTTGGAGCCCAGGTCAATGCAGGTCAGGTCACCCCATCCACAGACCTCCCCCTCCGTGGGGGCGGGGGTGCTGTTCCCACCAGGAAGTGTCTTGGAGATGCTAGGCGGGGTGCCCCTGTGCACATCCGGGCCTCCCCAGAGAATCCGAGGGGGTGCAGGCCTGAACCCAGTAGCCCAGCCTCTGCACCAGCTGGGCCCCAGGGGCAGGGCGGGCTGGGGCTTGCGGGCTGGGCAGCTCCCTGGGTGCTGCAGTGCAGGTCACCTACGCTGGTGAGGACCCAGCCTGCGGAGCCGCCCCCCATCCAGAGTCAGAGGCCCCAAAGGCGGGGTCCCCCGCCGCCCCAGAGCAGACCCCTCTGCACACTCGCAGCCACATTTGCCACATCCGTGGCCTTTCCCAGAAGCCGCAGACACTCGGTGTCCAGGCAGCCAGCGCCTTGGGGCCGCGAAGGCCGAGGGGGACGGTGAGTGGCGGCCACAGCTGCAGGCGGGATGGAGGCCTCTGCCCCCCCACCCGGGCCCCACCCAACTCCCAGAAGCTGAACCCTTGAGCAGGATCCCAGCAGCTCGGCAGCCCTCGCTGTGGACAAGCCCAGGGAGGAAAGGGGCTTGCCCCCTCCAGCCCCCAGAAATATGCCCGGCTGCGTCCTTGAAGCTGAGGCTGAGTGGCCACTGACCTCCAGGCCCAGCAGGTCAGGATGCCCCGCAGGGGTGGGGGACCACAGCCCCCCCACGACCCCTGGGAGACTTGAGCCCAAATTTGGAGCGGAAGCGGGGCTGGGCCTGGGGAGCGGCAGCCCCGGAGCTGTGACCCAGACCCCCGGCCTCCAGGCATTCCCGGCCTCCAGGTCCTCTGAGGTGGGGTCGGCCCTGGAGGAAGGCTGCTAATCCCGGGGTGAGGGGCCCCACCGCCGGCCTAGCCCCCCAGGGGTGCTGTGGGATTCCTGTGACGCCCCTGAGCTTGGGGAAACCCAAACTGGGCCTGGGGGTGCAGCGAGGCGGGTGAGGCCCTTCGAGCCCAGGGGAGTCTCCTCCAGGAGCCTGCGGGGAGAGGCGCGCGCTGCGCCGGCCGGGTCTTCCTCCGTGGGCGGCGCCCCTCCCCCAGGCCCGCACCCCGAAGCCCCCCCCCCCCCGGTCTGCCTCCCCGGCCTCGGACACACCCTCCCCTGCGGGTCCCCAGCGCGTCCTGCCGCCCCCACCGGCCCCGCCGGTCCGGGCCCCGCGCCCTCCGCAGAGTCAGCCCCGCCAAGCGCCCCGGGGACCACCCGACCTGCGCCCCGGCCCCGCATCCCGCCCCGCCTGCGCCCCCGCGCGCCCCCATGCCCCCCCCCGGGGCCAGCGCGAGGCCGGGTCGCGGCGGGGACTCACCCGGCCCTGCAGACCCGCGCGTCCCGGCCCGTTACCGGCGGCCGTGGGGGCAGGGAAGGGGCCGGGCCTCGGCCGCGCGGACACGTGGCGCTCGGGGGCCAATGGGCGCCGCCCCCGCGCCCCGCCCGCGCCCCCGCCGGAATCCCCCAAAGTCACCGCTCCCGCCCGCCGAGAGGGGGGCGCGCCCCAGCTCAGTCTCCCCAAGTCCCTCCACTGGCCAGAGATCGGCCGGGAGAGCCCGAGAGGCCGCGCCCCGCGCCCGCGCCCCTGACCCCCTCCCGGCCGTGCTGGCCAGAGGTCGCCGCCCCAGGCCGGCGGGACGCGGGACTCCCTGAGGGCTCGCCCGGGCTCTGGGGAGCGGCCCTTAATGATGGCGCCTGTGCAGCCCGGGACGTGAGAACGAGGTCCCCCCAGGGCTGCAGGGCCCCCCAGAGACCCGCAGTGATGGTCGTGCCCCCACCCCGGCCAAAGTCCCGCGGGGGGTGAGGGCCAGGGGAGGCGCCGACGCCTGAGGGAAGGACGCAGGCCCTGAGCTGGGGAGCGGTGGGCGGCCCTCCTGGACCCAGCCCCGGCTCACTGCGGCAGAGCCTGTCCTCGGGGGCTGAGGTGGCCCCGGCGCCGAGGCATGGGGTCCAGGCCAGAAGGGGAGTGGCGTCCAGTCGGGCCTGAGGACTTAGAATGAGGCCTGCAGAGGAGCTGTGCGGCCCCTGGCCAGTCCCTGCCGGGGATACCAGCCCATCGGGGGCAGTGGGCGCTCCTGGGCCCCGACAGCCCTTCCACCCCCACCCGGCGAGCTGGTCTGCTGGCACCTGTTCCGCACCAGCCAGCGTTTCAGAGTTTTATCAGCAAACAAGTGAAGTCCGTCCCTCCGCGTCTGCCTCTAAGGGAAGATGGACACTGGGTGAGTGGGCAGCGGTGGCTCAGCAGGCGGCAGTGGACAAGAGAAGGGGCGCAGGGCCTGGCAACGGGGCGCCCGCCAGCACCACCAGGGACCACAGGGAGGGCAGCGAGGAAGTGGAGCCGGTGGGGGTCTGGTCGCTCCAGCAGCGGGGGGCAGGGGGCCAGCGCAGAGGGGGACGAGCTTCAGGGAGCAGAGACAGGACCCGTGGCCCCGCGAGGGTGCGGCCTGCCATCTGGGCCTGCAGGGAGTAGGCGCAGGGCTGGGGCCCGTTGGTTTCTCCTGGATGCCCAAGACACACGCAGATCTTGCCTCCCCGGCCAGCGACGGCAACACATCTTGTGGACCCCGGGGGGCACACACCTCCTGGAGCCCACCACGTGGTGGGTGCAGGGCCTGCCGCTGTGAGCGGCTGGGCGCGAGGCCGGGTGTGAACAGAGCCCATGCCTGGCCGTTCAGGAGGGACCCTCAGGGCAGGGCTCTGAGGGCACGATGGACACTCGGGCACGAAGGCCTGAGCCGGGTCAGCGCTGCGTGTAGACGCGGGCCAGACCCTTGCCAGGGCCGCTGCCTGGTCCGTGTGCCCAGCGCCCCTCCTCCTGGCCAGCACTGGCGGTTCCGCTTCTTGGTTTTGGTCCCCTCCTGGTGGGGGGCTGGGGGGGTGGTTTCTCTAAAGACACTTAGCGTCGGCCTCTGCAGGGCCTGAGGGCCACATCCCCCCTGAAGCGCAGGGCACAGGCCGGGCGCAGGTGTGGGCCTGCTGGCAGGAACAAAGCCTGGAAGGAAGCAGAGCCTGGGGGGGAGCAGAGGGTGAGTTCAGCTTCCGGTGCTTCTCAGGCCCTCTCCGCGGATCGGCTTCGGTGGGGTGGGTGGGGTGTGTGGGGTGTGGGCCAGGCAGGGCAGTGCGTGGGGTCACAAGCTCTTTCTGGGGCTGTGGGTTCTCTGCGTAAGAGGACCTGGCAGGTGCAGCCCAGCCTCTGGGCAGCGCTGGCTGGAGGCGGCTGCCTGCCAGCTGCTGCCACTTCTGCGGCCCTGTGGGATGGGACTCGGGGGGCCTTTCAAGGGGATACCCAGATCCCATATCTACAAGCCCCCCGGAAGCCCTCTCCTGCACACAGCTCCCCCAGCCTCTGGCCTGCATTCCTGCCCAGGCCTGGGGCTGCAGCCCTCTCGGGAAGGGCAGCGGGTGCCCAGCCCTGTGGCCAGTCCTTCCTCCCCTGCCAGGCAGGGACCCGCACAGGGGCCAGAGCTGCACACTGGCCCCTCAGAGGGTGGCAGAGGACTCCCTCCCAGCCAGCCAAGGCCACAGCAAGCTGACCCCTAGAGGGTAGCCAGGGGAGGCCTCACAGCCCCTGTGGTCAGCCCCTGTGTGTGCTGGCTGCGAGCAGGGTCTGCACAGTAGAGACCCAAGTTAGCAAAGTGCCCGGGGCCGTGCCCAGCCCGGTCTGCTTGGTGCCCCCCAGCATTCCGACTCTTCTCTCTGAGCCTCTCAGCTCTGCACAGGCCCAAGGCAGGAGTTTGCCCCCATTCAGGGGCCAGAGCCCTTGGATATAATCACGGTCAGTGGCGGCAGCGAGTCATGGTCTGTTTACCATGGACGGCGGGTCCTGGGCTGTGCTGGCGCCCAGAGGCCCTGCTCCGTGTCCCGGCCTGCCTTCCACAGCAGAGGGGGGCAGGGGAGAGGCTGCTGAAGATGCCCCGTGTCCTGGTGTTGGGATAGCCGCCCCTCCTGCATCTGCCCATGTGCCAGTCTCCAAGATTCTGAGGCTAGGACCCTCTGAGCCCCTCTCTCTGGGGTTCCGGGGCCCCGGGACTTGTTCTCCTGGCGGGAGGCCTGCTGCCCAACCCCTGCAGGCTGAGGCTCCTCAGCTAGCTCACCCCTGCCCTTCGCACCCCCTCCTGAGCCCCAGCCCCCGCTTTCCCATCACAGTGAAGCCGGGTGGGTAGAGGCTTGTATTTGTGCCCTTGGGTTGGTGTCTGTCTCCATCATCCGGATGCCGGCGGGTGCTTCCATGCTGGGGCCATGCAAAGAGCCCCGAGCAATGCCCCCCCAGGCCAGACCCCAGGAGTGCTCACTGCCAGGGGCCAGCTCCGCAGGCAGGGGGCGTGACCAGTGGCC